TAGTTTGATCTTGAGACAAGTTTGGTTTGCTTTTCCTCAAATATTCAGTTTCATCGTAATTGCAAGGCCAGTCATCCACAGGTTCGCACATTGGATTGAAACTCTATTCCAGTGAATATATCAGCCCAGTGTTCAAGAAACACTAATCATGAAATGAAACATCTAAAACAGTGGAAGAACAAAAAACACTTGGCAGACCTTCATAACATCAGAAGCCAATAGAGATTTAGATTTTACTGATGAACCAAACAAAAGATCATCTTCATCATCCATCTGACACATGTCATCACCATAGTTGTCTACTCTCTGGTGGGAACCTGCTTTATGATATACAGTTGACAACCTTACAGTATCTATTTGACAAACATCCTTTAAGCCGGTGCAGGTTGATCCATGAACTGAATCCAAACTGCAGAACCAAAATGGCATTCCTAGTTGATGCTCCATACCCATCAGAAGTCCCACAAACAACAGAAAATATACTTACATGTTTCTAGAGTTCACCCCATATGTTTCCATCTTATTGCAAGAGTCCTGATATTAGAAAAGTAAACAGTTGATAAAAAGTAAGAGAAGTTATGTTCTATGTTTGCATCATATAAACGTGCAATGGGGATACTAACCCTGATTGAACGAGATTCATGATAGTTGCAGGTGATGAATGGATGCTGCAGATAATAAGGCAGAATGACCACAGTGATTTTGAAGGAAAAGCTAAGTAAAAAAGGCAAACAAATTCAAATGTATGTGGTCATAATTGAATATTACATAAGTTGGGTGAAGAAGAGAAATATGTGCAGAATACCAGTAACAAGTCTGACGCAGAAGGCCTTAAATTTGGTTCCCTGCCACCACAAATTGATGGATGGTTATTCGAACTCAAATTATCTGATATACATTAACGCCCTCAACCTAAATGTCAAACTGTATCACTGGCCTTCTCAAAAACAAATATAGTCAGAACTCATAATTAAATAGAGGCAATATAAAAATGGTAAAAACATTATATGTATATACTTGTGAAAGCATTTCAGCAAAAAGTCCTTTGCCTCAGCAGACAGATGTTCAGGTATGGGTGGATGAGATTTAGTTGTCCCAATGTAGAAAAGAGCCGAAACCTAAAAGAGATTAGTTTAAACAAGTCAAAGAACCAAATAGTGTCACACATACACACACAGACAGTGAGGGACCAACTGATAAGAGTGATAAGTGAGACTTTCAGGTAAGGTGTACCTCTTGGGGGTACTGTTGACTCCATGGGGGCTTTCCTGTGGCCATCTCTATCACAGTGCATGCAACACTCCATATATCAGTAGAGCTAAGAAATCACAAGTTAGATGCTGTTCCCAGAATGTTCTATATCTCTAATTTGTCCACACTTCAATGATAGGTTCAAAGCACAATCACAAAATTCCATCAAATAGACAATTTGGAGTTTATGATAAAACATCAAACGTTATTCCTTATGTTGCTTAGTTCTGATTTTTCCATTATTTAAACAAGTAATGAAACTTATTTCCATAATCTGCATTACAAGTTTGATTCTTATGAGGTTAGCCTGCTTTTTGAATTCCTTGGCAATGGCTACAATCCACATGCTTCTTAAAGAAAGTAGCACACTCTAATTTAAAACACAATTGATTTTTTTTTTTCATATATTCATTTCCAAACAAAAAAAAAACTTCTATGCACATAAAACATCATAAACAATTTTAAGAAACCCAAACCATTACATATGGGATCTTAGTCCTGAAAGCAGATAGGTTATGTGGTGATTAGAGGTGGGGAGAGGAGTTGGATGTTCAAAATGAGAAAGGGGAGTGGAACATTAAGCACCAAGTCAAGGCATGTATCCAAGCTTCTGAAACAGGAACTGTTAAGTTTGACATTGGAGTATAGCAAAACAAAGGAAGTAGTGTGAAATAATCACGGTTAATAACTAGAAATTTCTAAATAGAAGTCTTATTAATATGAAAATAAAGATAGGTTTAACTATAATGGTACTTAATATGGCACATCACCAAAGTTCTGTTTTCAAATCAAAGATTCATCCCAAAATTACTTTATCCTATTAATATGCAAATAAAGATGAATATCACCAGTATATCTTTTATTGTTCAGTAAGCCCATAAGTGTTAATCTTGCATCTCATATTAATGAGAAGGGAAGCCGAATGGTCCATACATTTCCTCTGCAAGGACTCATTCACCATATCAAAACAGGAAATGAATCCATAATGGATAAACTATGGAAAAGAAATTTTAAAAGAACACATTTAAAGCTTAACAAGGATTCTCAGGTGTTCATGCGGTATGACACACCAGGAAATGTTCAATGAAGAAAAAAATAATCTGTTAGTAACAGATTTTGTTTGTTTAAGGGTTATGATGGGCATATACTTTTAGAAGCCAGAATCAAATGGGATATTCAACATCTACATGTTTCCTATTAATGTCCCTCACACTATCACCTCATGAATTTTTAAACCTCACACTCTCACAGCACAAGTAGCTCAGATATTGGGCCTTAAACTATAGCTAAGTAAGAAGTTATATTCTGAAAATTTTTTGGTGATGAATAAATACTGAGAAAGGATAAAAACAAGGAAAGATTTTCACTATTATGATAGATTTTTATTAGTGTTAGTCATATACTTACATTGTATGTCCTGTTTGTAAAATAACTTCAGGAGACATCCAATGTGGGGTTCCCTTCATTGACTTTGCACCATTGATAGTAGCCTATATCAATCCACAAACTTCAGATGTCAGCACCAGAAACAAATTACACAAGAAGCTTGTAAGAGCATAATGAATTAATAACATGAACATTGTCATACCAGTTCAACAACTTTCTTGGAAGCACCAAAGTCTGCAAGTTTAATGCACCCTTTGTTATCAACTAGAATGTTTGCACCCTATATCCAACAACACATTGACGAATATGATAGACACAGACCAGTGCAGAAAGTCTTTTAAAAGTAAATGCAAAAGCACAGTACCTTAATATCCCTGTGAATAATTCCGTTATTGTGAAGGTATTCAAGGCCAAGTAAAAGTTGTTTTGTATACATTTTTATAACCTGTTAAAAAAATTAAACTTTAAGCAGCAAAAGAATCGCAATCTGCTCTAATATGCATTTCACTAAGTAAAAACCACTTACAGACTCAGGGAAGGATCCAAATTTCCCCAAGAGTGATGAGATAGATCCACCAGGTACAAACTCCAGCAGAATATTTAAGGAATCCTCCTCTCTAGCAGTTCCCAAGTATCTCTATGATAAATAAATAACAAAGCAGGGGGGAGGGGAGTTACTAAATCTGCCACCAAGCAATCAAAATTATCCAACTCACATAACAAGACAACACTCACAACAATATTAGGATGCTTAAGATTCTTGAGAAGCTTCACTTCTTCTTCAAGTTCCCGAATATTAGCCTGACTCAATGAAGTAGAAAGAAATTTCTCACACCATCAATCACGCTGAACGACAACATAACAACACTACCAGCTTACATGAAACTAAGAATAGTAATGCTTTATAGATGCATTACCATTTCTTCCACAGTCCACATAGTAACCAATTAAATAAAAAAGCACTTTGACGAAGATCAACAAAGAAAACAATGCAACCCCTGAACGAGGATACTTGTACTAGAATCACATCTTTTTACCTGAGTATTCTCCTTGAAAGCACTACCAGGCGCAATCAAAACCTATAGAAAGTCAGATTATCAACAATTAGCACGTAATCAAAGCCAATTAATGAAGAAGAAAAAAATATGAAGTGATGAAATAGACCTGCTTGATAGCAATAAGTTCCCCTGAATCAAGGTTCATGCCCATGTAGACATGACCGAAGGCACCGGAACCGATCAACTCGCCCTTACGCCACCGTATGGGAGGAGGTTGAGGTTTGAGTGCCATTCGCGATTTGCGAACGGCGGAGCCAATCTTGTCGGCGATCCCGGCGAAGGGTCCGTCGTCACCGTGTCTGAAAACCAAGGAGCGGCGAAGGGAACCCAAAAAGTCTTGCATTTTGTGGTTGTGTGTGTGACTAGGGTTGGTGAGGGAGACTTTGCGCATTTAGGAGGAGGGAAAAAGGAAGGAGAAGATGAATTTTTGAAAATGGTGGTGTTGCTTAGTGCACCACAATAACTTCAACGGTTATCTTCTTTTGACTTTTCCATCACTGGCCCCACGTAATTTCAATTCTCATGCCCCACTCTGTTTAAGTTCCATTTTTCTAACTCACTTGTCATGTGTTTAAGTGGAGGATTTAAAAATGTCATATTTTTTAATATAAAGTTATATTAAAAAATATATAAATAATATTATTTAATAAAAAATTATTATTTTAAATGCTTAAAATTATTTTAAATATTGAAATTACAAAAACCATTACTCTATCTGATTTGTTAATCAGTAGCACCTTAAGATAATAATCAATATTTTGATTATGCAATAAGTAACTTTTTATTAATATATTAAATTCTATCTTATATGTTTTTTATCCTTTAATTTATAGCAGGATATGAAAAATATATTTAAATTTTAATAAATGTTTAAGATTATCTAAATAAATTGACCATTATAGAAACTAGAGTAATAATTTAGAATGAAAAATCTACGATTAACAATATGTATATAATAAATTATGATATTATTAAAGTTTCAATCATATATAAATAAAGTTATTATGCATATATATTATTTTACATCTTTATATATATATATATATATATATATATATATATATGTATTTGCTAAGAATTCTAAAATAATTAAGTCATTTATAATTTGACGAAAAGGATTAGTGAGCCGGAAATTTTGGTAAGGTGATGGAATTTAAGTTGACTTATCAAAAGTCTGTTTAATTGACAAAAAAAAAACTGAATTCGTATTCACGTCAGTTATTTTATTACTCATGTTAAGATTTGATTCGTGGATAATTTTTGTGTGTTTATATATGTAAGCGCTTATTACAGAAAGAAAATTTGGAATAGAGAATGTTTTTATCTCTAAAATGATATTATCTTCTTAGATTTTGATATATAGCTGGCAAGAACTTTTTCTTTGATATCTTTCTATCATTAACAGAAGCAAAGAAACAAGGAAACCCCATACTTTTCGATTCCCAAAAAGATACTCAACTGAATTTGTGAAGGTTGAAGCTCAACTTTAGCATTCAATTCAACCCAAATCTTACCCAGTTCCAAGTATAACCATTTTCCTTTAACTTACATACCCTTGTTCAATCCATTTGTGTCTTTGAAGCCCTTAAAGACAGCGACTTTTGATTCATATCCTTCAAATCCCAATACCCTTCTGTCCAGCAAGTATAAAGTTTGTGCCTTGTTACTCTGTTCACCTCGTGTTCGTTTATTCGATTACTCGTTTCTTTGGGGACATAGAAGATGCAACTTGACCTGGAATCATTGTCAGAAGCTACTTCTGGTGCCATTGGATCCCTTGTTAGTACCACCGTCTTATACCCACTCGATACTTGCAAAACCAAATATCAAGCTGAAGTTCAAGCTCAACATCAGCGAAAATACAGGTCCCATTTCCAGCCCTTTTTATTTTTTGGCTCCAACTTAGTATATTCTTACATATAATTAGTACTTGTTTTGATAGCATATATTCATGTTCTTATCTTTTTGTCCATTATTCATGTAGACTAGCTTATTCTATTACTATATTATTGCCAATAGGTGACACTATTTACTAGACGTTTGCTAGAGAGATGAATTGAATTATCTATGATCATATCGGTTTGTGTGTTTGGTTAGAGAACTCTCTTTTTATGGTAAAAAAAATTAGGCAACCAAGCTTGAAGTTGTGTTACCTGTAAAGTTGGTCGTTTCTTCTCAACACTGGGAAATCTTGTTCATTAGAGAAAACTAAATGATAATGTCAAATGATTGTAATTTATAATAACATTCCAATTGTCAATGTTCGCAGGTGTTCTTTTGCTTTTATCATGATGCTCTTATCGTGGCAAAATTAAAATAGGAAGATAATAGCAAGTTATGCTTATTTGATTTTGTTGATCTGTCCCGTGCAGGAGAATTTCTGATGTTTTATGGGAAGCAATTTCTACCCGTCAGGTGCTTTCATTGTACCAAGGCCTTGGGACTAAAAACGTCCAGTCCTTCATTTCGTCATTTATTTATTTCTATGGATACAGCTACTTTAGAAAGTTATATTTGAAAAGAACTGGAAACAAGACCATTGGAACAACAGCAAACTTGATTGTTGCTACCGCTGCCGGTGTCTGTACAATAGTAATAACACAGGTAAGGTATAACTGTAATTGCTTTTCTGGAGAAAAATCATTGTTAGTTACATACATGTGATGTGCTGTTTGTAATGTGCTAACTGAGGGAGCTTCCTTAACTTATCATGAAATTAAGCTTTTTCTAAAGGTAACTGCCCTCCTATTTGTATTTGAATGTGCTGTCCTATCTCATGCTTTCTGTGTCAAACACAATTTTCTCTAATATCCGCTTCACCGCTTGTACTTTACAGCCCTTAGATACCGCATCCTCAAGGATGCAGACAAGTGAATTTGGAAAATCCAAGGGACTGTGGAAGACCCTTTCAGAAGGTACATGGAGTGAAGCATTTGATGGTCTTGGCATATCCATCCTTTTAACATCAAACCCATCTATTCAGGTAGCAATGTTGAGATATTTATGCAAATGAATCCTAGAGAGAATCTGTTATTCCAGATTAGGTTGCACTAGAAGACTACCCAAACTTAGAGAAGGATTTTTTTTTTCCTATAACAGTATACTGCATACGATCAGCTGAAACAGAGGCTACTAAAGGACAAGACAAGCAAGAGAATAGATACAAAGTCATCCCCGGAAGCACTTTCTGCATTTTCTGCTTTCATGCTTGGTGCAGTTTCAAAATGTGCTGCTACCTGCTTGACATACCCAGCTATCAGGTGGATGATCCATTTAAATTGTTTTCCCCAGAATTGTTTACTTGCACTATTGATTTTGGTGAACATGATGCAAAAGAAGAAAATAATAATAATTTAATTTCATGCAAATGTATCTTGAGAAAAATGACTAATGTGACACAATGGCATTTTCTTTGTTTAAGCTATCTTATGTACTTGCTGATGAAAGTTATTTTGAATTGCGGACAGATGTAAGGTCATGATTCAGGCTGCTGATTCAGATGACAATAAGAGTACAGAAGCTGAGAGGAAGGCACAGAGGACAATCTCTGGAGCACTCTATACTATTTGGAGAAAAGAAGGTATGTTGGGATTTTTCAAAGGACTGCAGGCGCAGATATTGAAAACTGTTCTCAGTTCTGCATTACTTCTGATGGTAAAGGAGAAGATTGCAAAGTCCACATGGATTCTAATGCTCATGATTGGAAGATACCTGTCTGTGAATTCCCCCATATTGAAGGCAGTTTGAATTTGTGATGAGTATATTCTTAAAAAATTATTCATCCAAGAATATGAAAAAATTGACTTTGTCTGCTAAGGAGGAAAATAATGGCAGATGCAAGAAGCTAAGTGTTGCGGGCAGTTTAGATTGTGTTTTTGAAGAAGGAATGTGAAAAATGAAAATTCAGATCAATGAGTCTGTCTCATCTAATATGCTTTTACCTTGGCAAGGACCTTGGCCTTGAAGTAGACTTGTTAATGTACTGGCCTGTCTCCAATTGGCTTGTTATTTGTATCATTTGGCAAATGCCAAGCTTCCAAGCTAAAAAATGATAGATATTATTTATAATAATGGCAACAATAAGATAACAACCCTCTGGGAACAATGCTTTCTTTCTCCTATTTGTCTCTAACATTCTATAGTTACAATACTGAAACAACAATTACACAAGGATCTCTCAATTTTAACTAGAAAAGCAGTTGTCTTCATTAAGTTCACCCTGTCACAAATAATACCTTTATCTTTATGGAAGCAGCATTGGCTTTCTGATTGGTAACAAAATTGTAACTTTGAAACACTGCCAACAGTCATCCTCTTTGTTTCACAACAGGAAAATATTACCAACCAACAAGAGCACAGAGCTGTAAATCAATCCGGCTCTGGAAATCAAACTGGCATCATTAGAAGTGTAGGGAGCAAAGCTTCCTGCAGGGGTGTTAGTGGTCAAGACAACAACAATCCAGTTATCTTCTGAACCAATACCAATTCCTGTATACTTCGTGTCATTGAGACTATCTGAGTAGAGAGATTTCGTGAAATTAGTAAGAACAAGGCTGGGAACCAAGTCAGGAACACAAGCAGGCATTACAATTCCATCCCTTGTGTTGGAAATAGCCAAGTGGCATTTAGTTAAAAGGTCTGGATAGTTGGAAAACTGAGGCTCTGTGCCTGGTACTGTGTTAGCACCTGTGGTATTTGTACAGGGTTGTTTCTTGAATTGATCAGCTATTTTATCAGCGAGGCAATCAGCATTTTCATTCTTTGTTAGAGCTTTTAAGTTTAACGATGCTCGATACTTGTTGAGACCCTGATAAAGACTATCTTTCTCATCTGCAGGAGAATATAAAGGTAAGTGCAGTCTCAGCAATCATGTCAACTTCAATGGGTATGCGTATGCTCGTGAATGTGCATATGCCAGAAAAAATTGATATGAGAGATTTTCATGTGACAAAATAACCAAAGTTCTTCATTATCATCCCATGGTGCTATTACTGAGTCAACTAACTTTCTAATTGAGTAATAGACTGTTATTCTATATTTTGTATATCCGGTGATGGTTTAAGTAAAGGCATTTGGTGGTAACATCCATAACAACCATGCTTCTATGCTAATGAATTTCAGCCCAGCCAAAGTGTAGCTTCTAAACCAATTCAAATTGCAACTCATCTGATCGCCCAATGTGAATCAAGGGCACAGGGTTCCATGACCTAGCTAGTTTAATGCTTTATAAAGTGAATTTTTTTATGAAGAATAACAGCTATCTTAATGTAAAGGCACCTTTTATTTTTACTTGGACAAGCATTAGAAACCATTGTATGTGGTGCATGAAAATTCAAATTTACCATTTTAACAATCATCTATTGTCGAACAAGGCTTAAGTAGCGTTTAATGCACGGACAAAACAAAATAAAACAGCTTAACCCTGTTCTAATTTTTTATTCTACTTTTAAAATATACCTGATATAAAACATGCAGAAGATATAATCTAGTTCAGCACTCAACGGAAATGATCAAATCATTAAGATCTACAAGTCCACAACAAGCACTTATAATCTCCCTTTAAACTAAGCAATCCCTGATCAGTCTCTCTGCTTATCAGATCTACCTCGAATAGGCTATTGAGGAACATGCAACAATAAATGAAGTGAAGACATCACTCACAACACAAATGACCAAGTTCAACATAATGCAAACTTGAGTCGTAGATTTAATTGAATTGAATGTATAAATAATTCTAAATCCTATTCCAACTATATCCTAAAAATCCTCACTTTTATTAAACGAAGAAAATATTGAATGTATTTTATGCTTTTAATACATTAAATACATCTTTATTTTCATTAATACTTATTTTAATAGAGTATTGGAAATATTAGTACAATGGTGCTGTATAAGTATAACATCAAGTGAAACCCATTTAAGGATAATGAATATTAGCTGATTGATCAAGTAAAGAGAGAGAGAGAGAGCAAGCACTCACCATCGTCACATTTAACTGGATAATTTATCAAGAGAATCGCAACGGAAGAAAGGAGAAGGCAGAAGAGCAGAGAGAAGTTGGAGAACACCATCTTTTGCAGCTGCGTTGTAGCAGAAGGAACGGAATGGTAGCAGCTGAAGAGTAGAGATATAGAGGTAGATAAAGACTCATTCTTCAACAAAAAAGAGGGGCCATTTATTGAATTCTATAAGTGCTGTGTAAACGTAAGTTTTCTTAAGCAGAGTGCTTTACTGTTTCTTCAAGCAGAAGGTAGACTCTGTAGACAGCATACTGACACTGAGGAAGACGTTGCAACGGTAAGGAAAGGTTGCTCATGTTTCAGTATCACATGTCTGTGTTCGGTCTCTTTTTTTGCATGCATTTGTCATAGATGGTATTTCCATTAAGGAAAATATTTGTATTTCCATTAAGGAAAGTATTTGTTCAACATAAATTTTGAAATGGATGTAAATGTAAAAGATAAAAAATAATAAATGATAATTATTTATATGACGATTAATTGGAAGAAATTTTCTTATGTGATGATTAATTACAGTAATTTTATTTTTTCTTAATTTTACAGTTCTCTTGGAATTTCATACGAGATGGACATTATTGTCTCCGAGCAAGAAAGTGTTTTACACGTAAAATGTTTGCTCAACGATTTGGTGCACCGAATAAATTGGGTTGGATGCGATGATGTGTCATCTTTTATACAGTATTTAATATATAATAACTTGTCATGTTTAAGTAATGAATCATCGTTATGTTCTATTTTTCTATTAACTAAATACGATATTTTATTGCTGTTACTAATAATAATAATTAAGAATTAAAAAAAAATCCACTCTTATTACACATTATTCTCTTGTTATCACTTTTTTTTTTTATCGCAATATTTCATTTACTACTTTTTCATTTTTCTCTTCATATCTCATTCCCGGGAGCATATACACCCTCTTGGGTGTGATAAAACTAACGTATTTATATTTTTCTTAAATTTAGAAAATGATTACAACAAAACAAGTTTTAAAAGTAATGAACATTGTTATATTTATAAAGTTTAAATAGATTTTTAATTATTATACATATAACTATATTTATTTTTTTTAAGATTTAAAATAGACCAACAATTGAAAATACTTTGACATTATTATCTAATCATATGTTGGTGTATCAATAAAAAAAATTTAATTTTTTATAATAATTAATTTTAAAGTTATATTTATGGTTTATTTTAATTGTTTGACAATATAAAAAAATTTAACTAAAAACTCTGAATTTAACCTTCTATTTTTGCTAGTTTTGATGTTCATAATTCTTCAGAATAGTTTTTATTACTATTTAGTGATAAAAGACAAAAATTAAATGTCACATCAATGATTATATTTATACGACTTATAATTTAACATGTCTAAATATATGTCATATGAATAGTAAATAATGATAAAAAATATTTTTAAAAAAATAGAATTTATGAATATTAAATTAACAAAAAAACTATAGATTAAATTAAAATAATTATTTATTATTTTATCATTTTTTATGTAATTATTTATGTATTTTTATTTTTACAATTTTTACTTTTTTGCTTGTATTATTCTTTTTAAAGTTCAACATTCCCTGCCATATAATAAAACAACAAAAATTACAAAAAAGAAAAAATAGTCACCAATTAAAAATATTCTGTATTATATTGTATTGGTATTTTTATCATATAATAATGGTGATTCAACACAGTATTTATAAAGCAAATAATTAAAATAAAATATATATTCAGTTATGTAAATATAATTAAGTTTAATTTTATCCTTAATTGTTATAATTTCAATTTTTAAAAAAATCCCTATCAGCACTTATTGATGATATAACATACATGTAAACATGTCACTTCAAAAAATAATTAATATAACAATTAAATACATCCCCCGGGATATAGTGGTGACAAGACTATTTTTAAAATTTACAATGACTAAACCTAAAAATAAAAATGAAAGACTAAAATCTAATTTAATTATATTTACAATTACATTGAGTAAAAATTTATTCAAGTTAACTGTTAAATATTTTTAAAAATGAACAGTGCTATGTTACGTAGCATGGAATAGCCAAAAGAGAAAAAAAATCTATTTCGAGGCATGAGTTTTTTCATATAAATATTTATAGGATTTTTTACACTATAATAGCCTACGCTGAATAGATAGAAAACTATAATTAGTCCAAAATTACAATAGAAGTAAGTGCTTTAAAAAAAACATCAAGCAACTTACTACATAGTAATGGAATGCAGTTATCTTTCATGTTGCAACTTGCAACTTTCAATCCCTTCCTTCCATCATTTTCAGAAAAAGTTTAGATCCACAATAACATAAAGGGTAAAGTAGATATCTTCTGTCGAAATACTCATTTCCCACAAGGCCCATACAATGGTTCAAGAAAAATTGATTGTGCAGTAGACGGAGGTTCTAGGAAACATTTGTATCTGTTTAAGAACATTCTTTTCCCTTCCTAAACCGCCAGAAAATTTCTCATGATTGCATATTATATCCATTCGCAGTAAAACTTCAGCATTTTTAAGCAAACTCTTCATTACTTGCAGTTCCCCATCTGTTCCACAGAATTGACATACCTTAATGAACTTGAGATGAGTTGAGAAACAAGAAGGGACAGGATCCAGTATCCAACTTCCTTCTTCATGATTCCCAGACAAACAGATACCCTACAATTCAAAATAAATTGTCTAATTATATTTAATATCACCACAGATTTAAAACAAACAGCAAACACTTGTGAGGAATCAGGAAAGTTACCGATTGGAAAACAAGTAATTCAAGACGTGGTAATTTTTGGAGGAACTTCGCCAGAGTTCCACATCTGAAATTGATCGCAGTTCCCGGTGGAAGAAATCCAAGACAAGTCAATTTGTACAATAAAGGCATGCAGGCATATAACTCCTTAGAATATGTGAGAACCTAGAACAATAGCACAACATACCATCAGAGACACAAGCAAATTTAAACATTATTATAAATAAAAGTAGCACAGGTTTCAGCCTAATAGTAGGTCACAGACTCACATACCTCAAATGCATAAGGTGTTAGCATTAGTTCTTTCACGGAAGAGATCCCTCTAAGAAGCCTATCAGCTCTATAAGCAACTTCTCTCTGTCTGCTATTCTCTTCAATGTCATTTGTGCCCCACAAGCCCATTAATCCACAACCGAGGGATACAGAGTCATAGATGCAATAGTCATTTCTGAGTGTACCAATGTAGTAAAATGATTTGAGGTTCTCTGCAATAATAAAGAACCGACAATTATCAGGATCTGCAACATTTTCCTTTATATCCAATTTCTTAAGCATGGGAAGAGCTATGGTAACAGCTTTAACATTCCACCAGCTGCATCTATCCAACGTTAGTTCCTCCAAGACAGGCAAGCCAGAAAATAGTCGCTGAGTGGACCGATTGCTAGGAAATACAACATACTGAAGAGTCAAAAACTTCAAATTTGGAAAGTGAATGGAAGATGGAAGCTTGAGCAAAACGTCAGCCATTATAACAACCTTCCTGAGTGTATCACATGTAAATAAGCAGTGAGGCAATTCAAATGGCTCTTCATGAATCTGATGAAGTACAAGAAACAAGTGTTGAACATTGTGCTTTACTGCATCACATACCCACGAATTGATGCGAGGAGCATCAGTAAACACTTTACATGCCAATGCAAAAAGATTGAGATCCAATGGTTTACGAAGTGCAATAACTCTATCCACAAAATCCATGAATAGTGACCTCTTCTGGTTCATATTAGGTGCAAATTCTAAGAAGTCAAGATTGGTGATGGACATCCACTGAGAACGCCATCTTCTAGACAATGCACTTGTTCTGACAGCATCTTTTGTCCTAAGTAAACTTAAAATGCGGTGAATGATTTTGTCAGGTAAATTGCTTATCCTATCCACGTGGCCATCTGCTTTCACTTCATTATTCAGCTTTTGAAAATTGCCCTCGCAAGTTGACAAACCTTCCATCATTTGAAGTATTCCTAATGTACAAATGCATCATCATAAGAATCCAGAAATTCCAACATTTTCTTCTTTTTCTTTTTTATGTTTGACCAGAATAGGACATGAACAAATCAGACGAACAAAATTGGAACCGAATTATTTTCACTATTCCTTGGAGTACCCACGATTCTTCATCTAATCAGTGTCTAAAAGTCTCAACTTTACACCCTCCCCTCATTCAACGGACTCAAAATTCACATTAGCATTTTATGAAGCAAAACCCTAGCGGGTGCAAAACCCCAACATTTGCAAAATAAAAAGGGTAGACTTTATCATCTTAGTACATGATAATCGTTCTAAATTTGATAAGTTTTTAGTGCTATAATGGTATTGCAATCTAATCGAACGAGGTTCACCTCTGCAGTCTGCATACCTCAAATTTACCTCCAGACAGAGATATGGCAAGAATAAAAAATTAAAAATATTTTGTTATAAATTTTTTTTAAAAAAAATTCAAAGATTGAATCGAGGCAATACCGTGGCGGGTAGCTGTTACGCAGTTGAAAGTTCGCTTCCGGCCTCACTCCAAAGCTCCCTCATGTTGAAGAGTTGCCATTATATGATATCTGCCTTCTCACAGAGGCCTAAATTAACTGCTCATTGGGCTTGAAACTTATAACGGTCCCTTTTCATCTTATTTTTAGTTTTTATTTAATTAATAGAATATGATAATTTTATTTATAAATTTATTTTATCTATTTTTAATATAAATTTATTTTTATAAATGAGGTCTGAATTAAAAAAAAAAGAGAGAAAATAGTATAAGTGTATTCAATTTATCTTGTTGTACGGAAAATTTTATTTTATTTTTATCGAAAGTTGTACGTCATTTTTAAAATAGGATGTGTGTCTATTTTATTTTTGTCTATCTTGTTCTTATTTACTTTTCGTAATCTATATTTTTTTTTACTCTATCTTATCCGTCAAACGAGTTTCAGAGAAATACACGTAATTTTTAAAATTTGTTATCAACATTATTTTTAATAAATTCTAATTAAATATATATTTTGTTATTATTATTAAATAAGATTTATTGAGAATCGCAAAATAACATACATCTCATTACTTATTTAATAAATGAAAAAAAAAATCATAGGAAGATGTTCTTTATAAATATTACATGATGTGATGTATCAAAATTTCAGCAAAAGTAAACAACTGACTTCCACTAATCCTGCGTGGTTAGCAATAACATAATTGGTCAATTCACGGCTTTGTGTATTTTTGTATAAATTTTACCATGTTGAATATCGAGATACTGTGATGCATTTTAAGACATTGTGCAAGCTAAAATTTTTACTCTAAATATATCTTTCAATTTTTTTATTTTATTTTTGCAAAAATAACTTCATCAGTAATAATGGTATATCATCATTTTACTATTAAAAATTTTAATTACATTTTTAGTTATTTATTAACCAAAGATCATATATATTTAGTCTATAATTTTAATTATTCAAATTAGATTCTTCATAACAATATATCGTCTAATAATTAACAAAAATATAAGTCAAATTTATAATTGATTTGTACATATTCACAATATATATATATATATATATATATATATATATATATATATGTATGTATATACACATTGTTATATTAAATAATTAAATAAAAAAGTTGTTATATTTCATACGTTTTATTGTTGCTTAAATATTTTACACAAATTTTCCTAACTAAATTCTAAAGAAAAATAATACATCAAACTTCTATTATATTTTTATTAATTTTCGAATGAAATTTCGAAACAAGGTACATATTTAAACAGTTAGGATACCAAGAAAATAAAATACAAAGAATTAAAACTAAAGAAAATAATATTGGACGGAAGCTAAAATCTGACGATCAAAAGTACAATTTAACATTAAAATAGCTTAAAAGGAAGCGAATCACATATGCTATCAATAATTTCAGGAATCAGTCATTTATGCATTCCAATTTGGTATCAAACAATAAGCTATCATTCAGGTTGCAAAAAATAACCACATAGATGGTTTGGGATGCAACAGGCTTCAAAATATATATCAAACCAGAAGGACAAAGCTTTAAATAGTTCAGCAAGTCGACAAAACACTCTAGTCCCTCTATCTTGTTTTTCATCTTCACTTCAAAAATATTTTAAAATTATCTTACAATCCATTGACTCTCGAGGAAATCTTACGATCTGTTTGTACAACTTCTTTAACCTCTTTGATTCCGCAGGAGAGTCAAATTCAAAAGAACTACAATAAATATAAATTTTATCCAAAACTGATGCCTCTTGTAGCAAAAATTTTATCGCATTTAGCTCATCGTCAGATCCAGAAAAGCAATATATCTTGATTGTCTTGAGATTTGTCTTAAAACATACTGGTAATGGATCCATTATATGGTTGTTGTTTGCACAATTTTTAGGCAGAGAGACCCCTCCCTGCATTGTTAATCACAAACTAAATATGAAGAGAATTGTAAGGATACGTAAATAGTACTAAAATTTTGGGTTTGAGAGAAGTTACCAACTTACCATATGAAAGTGAACAACTTGGAGACATGGTGAGTTTCGTAGTATGGTCAACATTGCTTCACAAGACAACCTTATGGGTGATGCTGCTCCAGACACTTCAAGTTCAGCCAAATTACAAAACAAAGGAAGATAACCAAGTAAAGATGCTGTGCTATCGATAGCCTGTAATTGGCATACATGGTCAGAAGATTCAGGAGGGTCTTTGAAACAATTGTAAGAGAATCAAGTTAATAAATGTTTTAATGTTGAGATCAAACCAGAAGAGCAATCTCAGAAATTGAAAGCCTTTCCACATTTGAGAGCGCTTTAAGAAGTTTGAACACAGAATAGCCCACGTCACTTTCCCAATCTTCATCGGAAAAATCCAATGCATGAACTTCAATAGATGCATTAATCACTGAGGTTGAGCTATACAAGAAATAATCATTACAAAAGTGACCATCATAAGAAAATGACTTCAGATTTGTTCCAACTATCACTACATTGCAGCAATTTGAAACATTCTGACCACCTATATCATCATCTTCATCAAACTTATCATCATCCTCTTCTCTCCACTCGGTTATCATCAACTTTTGTAGCACAGGAGAAGAAATACAAACACTTTCAACATTCACCCAATTGCAATTAACTAGAGACAACTCCTCCAGCGATGGGCAACCAGAGAAAAGCCGTTGTGTTGAAGAATAATCAGGGAATGTAATATAAACCAAAGACAAAATCCTAAGACTTTCAAAAAGAATGGAAGAAGGAAGCTTAAAAATATGCTGCATACTTAGTTCAAACTTTGTCAATGTTGCACAAGCAAACAGGTGGTCAGGGAAAACCAATGGTTCCTCTATTCCTTCAAAGGAAAGATTTAATTCTTGAATTTGAGGGTTGATGAAACCACGTAGCCACTCATTAACCTCAGAAGCACCATCACCAACTTTACAAGAAAGGGAGAACTTGGTAAGATTTGAACAATCACAATCTACCAGCAATCTCCTCACAAAGTCAACGAATTGTTGCCTTTTCTCGGGTGCTCCTTCTCTCAATTTAATTTTGGAGATACCCATCCATAGATATTCCCATCTTTTGGATAGTACACTTGTTCGAACTGCTTCTTTGGTGGGAAGGGAGGATATGATAAGCTGGAGAATAGGGTCAGGTAGATCACATATCCTGATACCGCTCTCATTCTTTCCCTCTCTGTCGTGAGGATTTCTGTGTTTCTTGTTACTAATCAAAGAACTGGCATCCATGCTTGAAATGGCTACCCTATTGCACATTACACATTATCAAAGCAGAATAAAATATGAAAACATTAATCAGTAAGACTTAGCTAAACTAAATTCCCATTACTTAGCTGAACAAAGAGTAACGGGTTTTAGACCATAACTTTCTAAGCAAAACTAATTCAGAAACATGACAGTAATAAACACAAACTTGGTGTATCTGTATGAATTTGTTGCTCAACCAAACCTAAGGCATTAATTTGTTTCCCAGGCATCACTTTTGGCCCATTTCCCAGTCTTGTGCTGGGAAGGAGGAAAAAGGCTAAAACTTGAAACCCTTACACGCCCCTTCACTCCAACATTAGCGAAGCCATGGGTTTCAGACCATAACTCTTCGCAAATTCACTTTTTTAAATGGGTTTAAGATAAAAAAAATTTCTACAAATAATGGGCATCATGACTCTGACATTGTAGTAACAATCACGAACAAGGCAAAAATTAAGAAACACAAAAATATCAGTGAAAATGGAAAAACAAATTGAAGGTAGGAAAATAAAGATCAAAGTATGGCAAAGAAGAAAGGCGAAGATGATTCCACGCACCTCGTCTTGGCGCCACTCCCACACAACAACTGTCCCCTCCTTGACTCCTTGTTCTGCTCAAGTGGGAAAACGTGTATTATAATAATATGCATTTAAAAAACAACGTTTTTATAATATTTTAAAAAATCTTATAAAAAAAATTTCCTCTAAAATAATTGACTATTAATTATATACTTCGTTAAAAAATACAGAGAACGATGTTGATTAGTGCTTGATGTAACTGACTCTTAATTTTAGGATATTTTCTAAATTTGATGAAGTGTGAATTAATTGGGTCAATTACGAGCCATTTAGGCGAGTGAACCCAAAATTCTTAAATAACTCTCTATTGAAGAACCAAAAAAAATAAAAAATTCTAGCGATGAGTTAAACATTATTGTACGCAACTGTTTGTAAGTTTAATTTAAGGAGAAAAAAAAGAGGAGAGGCTTTTTAAAAATTTACCTTTATTTGAAAATTACTAAAAAGCAGGGGAAAACGAGAAAAATTTAAAATCACTCAAACACATAAGCTTTTAATTTTAAAAAAGTAATGCATTATTTTTTTAAAATTATATTTAAATACACTAAGAGTATAGTTTTTTATATTATCACTTAATTATGAATTGTTATATCAACAATAATGATTAATTTTTATTTTATAATAATTGTTATATCAATGACTACCATTTTTAATTGATTCACAGTTTCAAAATTAAACTATAAAATGACTTTGTTTATAAGTTTAATTATAAAAACAAGGAGAGGAAAGGGTTTTTTTGTTTTTTACTTAACAAGTTACCTTATTTTAAAAAATACTACAAGAAGTAGGGGAGAAATAAACAAATAATTTAAAAACACCTAAAATCTCTCTCATACAACTTTCGAATTTCCTTAATTTAAAAGCTTTTTAATAAAAAACAATATCCAAGATAGGAGAGGGACGTAACCCACTCCCCCCTTCTCAACGGCCAAACAAAACCTATAAAATCCAAGTAAAAATTAAACACAATTCATTTATGAGACAATTTGCAACCCGTACAACACCTCATATCCTTTTTATTTTTTAGTAAATTAAATGGCTCATCACTTATTCAAATTTTTTATCTGACAAGAAAAACAAATCAATAAGTTTCCAATTACCAAAGAATTTGGCCGAAGTATGCCAATTGATTTGTTAAAATTCTTAGACCGCTCTACTTCTTCATATCATGTTTCTTATCTTTAGAAATGTTAATCTTTAAACTCTAACAAGATAGAGTGACTAAATTAAATTAAACTTTATATGGGAAAGTATTTAGAAAAGTTTATAAATCTCAATATTTTTTAAACTTGTTTCGATAACGCTCATAAAAAATTCCCTTTAAACACACTACTTTTAACTTATTCTAATAAATTTTATAATTAAATTTACAGCATACATCCGTATGTAATAAAAACTAATTTAATAAAGGAGCATTTAGACGAAATTTTAAACAACTTATAAAAACAATGTATAACTTTCATGAGCTTTTTTAAACATATTTTAATTATTAAAACAAACACTTTTAATTTATTTTAATAAATTTCATTATTGAATTTATAACATAAGTCTTAATACAATAAAAACTTGCTATATAAATGCTCAATTCAACTGTATATCCAGCCACGTTCTATAATTAGGTTGATTATCCAATCCAAATGCATAAACTTAAAAGCATTTGACCAGTGCTTAGCTTTCAGTACAGCCAAAATCGAGGATGATCAACCGAATCCCACTAATCATACCACATCAGGTAAAAAGCAGGGGAGCCTTTTACCTAAATCGAGAGAATATAAACTGGGGATGGAGGAAAATGAACTAACATTTTCAACATTGCACTCTCTCCTACTAACCTATTGAGGTCCTCTCATCAGACCGGGATCGAATCATAGGGATTTTAACAGCCTTAAGCGAACTTCAATTCAAACTCAAAAAAAAAAAAAATCAATATTACAAAATTAAGTTGAAAGAATTACGGGGAGGAGAGTTAAGGCACATGATTACAACAGTCTCTTAGAAGAGCGTAAAATATTCATGAAATAAGGATGGCACGAATTTCAGTTTAATATAACAAAAAAATAAAAGCACAAGTTTTATAATGATTTAAAAACACGTTTTAATTGCTTGTAAAGCCTACGGCCCGAAAGTAACAAGATTTTGATAACCATGTAAAGAACATGAAGCACATCTGTTTCCTGTCATTGATAATTTGATATCACTAGAAAACTAGCAAATTTTTCATTACAACTGATGAGTCTGTCAAAAACTGAAATCAGGTGCGATCCTCACACAAAAACTTGCCTAGTAGAAGAAACCCAGCACTTTACCACCGACATTCTTTCTCCTAGCCTCTTCATGATCCATGATACCAGCAGAGGTAGTCAAGACAATATACCCAAACTGCATGATTTTGTGTAATCAATGGGTATCCATGGTTAGGGCCACTGAAAAAACAAAACTAATACAACACGAGAGAGTAACAGAGAACATAAAGTTCAATAGTTTGTCCAGCGATACCAACTTCAACAAGTTCAGTTCGCATCTATGTAAAAAAATTAAATCAACCCTTTTGGTCTTTTAATAATATTTTCAACACTGAGAGTTTGTACAGTAAAAGTAATCAGCAATTATTAACTAGTGTATGTTCTTTTATAGCAGAGTCAAATGACCAGAAGATGTAACTCATAAAAATGAGAAAAAAACGAAGACAAGAAGCCCTTTAGGCTAACCTGTCTTGAGGGAAGCAGTCTTGCAGTCCAACCTTCTATCTCTTTGACACCCACATCAAAGCGGGGACTAATAACACCACATTTGTTCAATCTACCATTCAATTCTACCACAATTTTGCCACCCCTGTGATCATCGACATATTCGAAGTCCCCGATGTATCCTTGAACCACCAGAGTATACCAGATCAAGGCAAAATTAAACATCTAGGTGTGAATAAAAATAGGTTGAGGCACAGTAATGGAAAAAAGATTGAAAAATACCATGCTTCTGCATCACCAAAAGGAATTTTATAATCACTTTGGAGGATGGCCTAATCATGACCTGGCGCTTCCCCCTTTTCTCGGCATTGTACATGCTCTTGAGAGCATCATTCAAGACACTAACCCTCACCATAGTTACTGTAACAAATTTTAATAAATATCAACCATTACTAAGAAACTTACACAAAGCAACGCTGACAACTGCACATAAAAAGGGATAAACAAAAACTTCTATAATATAATGGATCATCTAAAGTGACCTTATCATTAAAGTGGGATACATCCAATCATACAACCAAAAATTTTCCCTTCCTCGCTTAGCCTAACGCGAGAAACACATCGTTTAATCAATAATCTTAATTGAATAGGAATTGCAACAAGTCCATATTAGCTATTGCTCCTAAATGGATACCCAAAGACAATTTTATAAATATGGGTTTTTCCAATTGAGTACCACAGAACACAATACAACACCCAGACAGTGGAACACAATTCTAATTCTTAAAGGGGGTTGTTCTGGATTCGCTCATTATCAATCGTAAATTGCAAAATAACAAGGAAAATATAACGAAGCAAGGAAACCCTAGAAGCCCATCCAATAAATGGAAACACGATGTGCTAAGCAGACTTTACCAAGCGCAGAGAAACTGTGAGGGGTGCGGCAACTGCACTGCCCTTACGCTGAGGAGAAAGCACACGATGAATAGTGTTTGTTGCTTGGAGGAGACACTTCTAATAAAACAACCATGTGTATTCTTTTAGGGTTTTGAATTTGTTTTCCGTTTTTGGTCCATGGGGATTTTTTTTAAAAATTTTTTTGGTCGAGGGGGTTTTTAAGTCTGTAGTGGATAGGATTTTGATTTCAGAAACATCAGATTCGGAGCTTCTTTATTGGATAATTTTTACTGCTTTTTTTTTAAAGGACCATTCATGTTGGGTTTCTTATTTAAGATTTATTTAAAAGCATTTATAAATAATTTTTAATTTTAAATCTTTTAATATAATTTATCAAAATAAATTTCTTTAACTTATATTAATAATTTTTATGTTTAAATTTAACATATAAATTATAATTATAAAATTATTTAATAAATATTTAATTAAATTATATATTTAAACACACTTTTTAAAAATTATATTTTATGTAAAGATTTAAAATAAAAATAACACGTTATGTATAATGATTAAAATAAAAATCACTAATTTTTGTTATATTACAAGAATGTATTTAATTTTATGAATATATCTTGATGCGGTGGCGTGCGTAGACGGGTCCTCTGAGTGCAGTTGCATCCATCGAAAGCGCAAAAGAATAAAAGGGGTTTCAAAACTCGTCAATTGCTGGACTGCTGCATCTTGGCGTTCGGACAATCAACGATACTCACTCCTACGCCGTCCGATTTAAACCACTCTCTCTCTCTCTCTCTCTCTCTCTCTATGCCGCCACTTCCCACTTCCTTACATTCTGTAACCACAACACGCTGACGCACCCTCTCAATCCCAATTTTCCCCAAACCAAAAAACCCTAACCCTAACTCCCCTCTATCTGCGCATTCGAGGCATATTTATGTACTCTCAAAATCTGATACTCCCTCCTGAAAACCCTAGACCCGCTGCTTTTGCTTCAAAACCGATGAACAATGAGGTCGCAATCGCGCAGAAACCACCCCCTTCGATACTCGTTGGTCGCTTCAAGGCTCTTCTCAAACAACGCGACGACGAACTCAGGGTCTCTCCCAGCGCCCCCGTGCCGCATCCAACCACCGACGAAATCGTGCAGCTCTACGAGTTGCTGTTGTCGGAACTCACTTGCAATTTGAAGCCCATCATCACCGATCTCACCATCATTGCCGAACAGCAGAGGGAGCATGCCAAGGGCATCGCTGATGCCATATGCGCTCGGATTCTTGAGGTCCGTCTCCATTGCCGCAGAAAGTTCTTCTTCTTTTACCCCTCCAGATTTGTAAAATATCATTCGATTCGGATCGACACTACTGTTTTATTTATTTGGGTCAAAATTATCCCTCTTTTGTTCTTTCTACTTTCCGCTTCTTCGAATGTTACAATTTGGGTTCCAAATTCTAATTCTTCGAATTTTGTTTGTTTTTGCTTCTAACATTGAAAGGAGAGAGATGATTTTAGTTCTGCGACCTTTTTTATAATGCTTTTAGCTCTCATGAGAAAAATGAAGGTCCCCAAACACGGAGAGAATAATTGGATTATGCTCAAATTGACCGTTATTGTGGCTGTTATATTAATAGCGTAAAGCAAAAGAAATTAGTTGCTATTGGTCTTTTAAAGAGCAGTAAATAGTACAAATATAACTCACGCATTGTAAAGATTAGGTGCAATTGCGTGCAACATGTTTGAATATTGGATTCAATTTCAGGAAAGTCCAAGGGCATACGAATTGAAATACTGTTTATACTGAAAAGATTCAGGTCTGCCATTAAAGGAAAGTTATTATTTCAGTTTTGCTGAAATGAAATCATGTCTGCAAAAAGAATAAAAAGGTTTACGAATCAAAGAATATTTAATTACACAGGCTTAGGAAAAATTTTCTATAATTTTTTAGAAAGTATCAGATCATGTTAAGTGACATCATTATATACAATATGTATTGTAAAGAGAATAAAAAAAATTTAATGACCAATTTCATTGTAAGATTTTGTTAATGCATAGTAAAAAAAAATGAGTTAATTACTTATTAGAATCTCTCTTGTTCAATTATATGTTGGCTATGCCACTGTTCACATGGGACTTCAATTTTTTGAAGATATCCTTTTGCAGGTTCCTGCAGATCAAAAGCTTCCTTCACTCTATCTTTTGGACAGTATCGTCAAGAATTTTGGTCAGGAATATGTTAGATACTTCGCTTTACGTCTGCCAGAAGTAGGTCAACTAGAGTTGCATTATTGTTTTAATTTTTATCATTTAATTCTGTTACTGAAACTTGCTTCTATTGTCTCTGCAGGTTTTCTCTGAGGCATATAGGCAGGTTCAGCCTAGTTTGCATCCTGCTATGCGCCATCTTTTTGGTACCTGGTCAAAAGTCTTTCCACCTTCTGTCCTACGCAAGATTGAAGCAGAGTTGCAGTTTTCTCAAGGAGTTAATACTCAACCGTCCACCATGAATCCTGTCAGGGCATCTGAATCTCCTCGACCAAGTCATGGCATACATGTTAATCCGAAATACTTGCGTCAGTTGGAGCACTCAACTGTGGATAGTGTAAGCTTTTTGTGATATCTCTGTCTTCCATACTAACTATACCGGGACTAGACTGAGGCTTTATTAGCTGATACCCTAAAGTTGTAATTTTCATTAATTGAATTGTTTGTTGTCTACATGTAAACCTAAATATATAATTTTTGTGGTAAATATCTTTTATCTCTCATGTTAGGATCTCTCTCTGTCCATCACTTTCTGTTTGTGTCTCTGTGTCTTTCCAATAATGGTTCTCCCTTTTCTTTTTGGATAGATTGTTTTCTTCAAACTTTATATTCACTACACCTGGAATTTTGATGTTATGTTTAGCAATGGTGGATGGAGGCATCAATGTAGACATGACCGGTTTCTTTTGATGGGTTGTCAAGGGAAGCTGTGAGAAATGTAATTTTTCACCATTTGCTCAACACCCCCCCCCCCCCCTTCTGTGCTTCAGAGATTTTGACTTGGTCCTAGCACTGTAATCTTTTATTTGTGTTTGTGATGAATTTTTCCCTGGATTTTATGACTAAGTACTAGAATGTTGTTAATGACTAAGTCCTAGCATGGGTGTTTTTCCCCCTGATTTCTCTCTCTAAATTAGTGATCTTGGTTTCTCTGGAGCTGTTGGTGAAAAACCTGGATGACAGATTAAATACTTCCACTGTGTATCCATACAAGAAAGACCAATTTGCATGTTGTTAATGGCAACAATTCTGTTTATCTGTTAGTATGACTGGAAAAACATCAGACAGACATAATTTATCTGATTTTCTCTGTAGTTTCATTATTATTTCATTATCTGGGATATGTATCACTCTGCTAAGTGTATTATTTTCCTTTCCCTTCTCTTGTTATATAGTTTTCCCTTTCATATTTTGTCTGGGGTTAATGAAGTAAGTAATTTTCCATTGATTCTGGGAAGGGATGCTGCTGAATATCAAGAATTCAATGGATTTCTACCCTTTTTTTTGGGGGGGGGTGTGTGGTGGAGAATCTTGCAAATCAATACAGTGGCATAGTGACACATTATTGGTTATATCTTACACAGGTTGGTGGTGAAAAGTTGGATTCATCTGGAAATGCTAGTAATACGAATTTTGGCCTTGTTGCTAGCAAGACGCATCAATTTTTATCCAGCAGCAGCAGGCTTGGATTATCCTTGTCCCCTTCAAGAATTGCACTTGATAGGCCTATGTCTTCATCTATAGATGAATATGCAGCTGACAACTCTGCTGGCAGGATAATTGATAGAGAGTCTCCTCATTCCACTGTTGATTATGGAGTGGCCAAAGCAAATGTAGAGTTGAGTGAATGGCAGCGAAAACAGTACTCTGGTGATGGTCGAAATCGACTTCAAACTTCTACATACAACCTTAATAATGGACATCAGCGTCAAAATCCTAGAGCTTTAATTGATGCATATGGCAGTGATAAAAGCCAAGAAACTTCAAGCAGTAAGCCTTTGTTAGTTGAACGGCTGGATAGAAATGGTATAGACAACAAGGTGTTGTCAACGTCATGGCAGAATACTGAAGAGGAGGAGTTTGACTGGGAAGACATGAGTCCAACATTAATAGACCATAGTAGGAATAACAGTTTCTTGCCTTCAGGAGTTGGTTTCTCCAGGGAAAGGCCTGTTATTGTTGCAACTAATGCAATTTCATTAGAGCAGGATACCAGGAAGGGTTGGTCTAGGGGATCTCATCCTCCTTCTGTAGATGATTCTTCTACTATAGCAGAAGATGCATTTGTCTCCTCTGCTGTATGTTTCCTCACTTCTATATTTTATTCTTTCTGCAGTATATTGCTTTAATATAGTTTATGTATTTCATTTTTGCTTTGTAATGTATATGGTATACCTCTAATCAGATGCCTTTTATGCTTTGGGATCTACTGATAAATTTCTGGTGATGAGGATACCTTTGTTTGGATCGGCCATAGGACATAGGGCCAATCAAATGCATGAAATTGATTCTTACTTGTCTGGCAATTGATCTCTAATGTAGTTTGCAGGTATTCACTAATTTCATATTTTTAACAGTTCACTGCTGCCTTTTAGAATTTAGACATTTTGGTAACCCCAGATGGCCTTTGTGTGTTGCAGCAGTGTGTATGTATTCCTGTTAATCTTTAAGTTTGTTTCTCACCTTTCCATGTCAACATGAATTTATTTTGTTAAGCGATTTAATATAAAATCATTTATGTATCTTCACTTAATAGCTTGAGGTTTTAGTATGGTTGGTTCATGACATGGTTTCAGAGATAACCGAGTGATATAGAACCCAATCTTTGTCACCGAGCATAAGGTAGGTGACCCGTGTGTGTATTGTCCATGCTTTAGGCCCAGGAGCTCTTGTGTGAGGGATGTGTCATAGATGTACTATAAAATCATTTACATTTTTTCACGTACCAGTTTAAACTTTATTAGGGATAGTTTGTCCTGGAACAGTTTATTTTAGTATAATTTAAAAGGAAATAAGACTTGACAATAACTCGCTAATAGAATTGAAAATTTATATATTCTTTTTGCAGTATGGTCGTGCACCCCCGGGTCAAGTATCTGGATTCCAAAATCAAATAAAGCATAGTCTGGGATCAGGTCAACCTCATGATGCTTGGAAGATTTCTCACCATCCGTCTAACTTTAATACTAGGGGGCGAGTAAGGGGTCTTATGATACCTCCTATTGATAACATTCGCAATCAAGATTCAAACCGATATCGGGTTCGACCTGTTGTGTCAAGGATGGTTTCTGGTCTTGTATCTAATGCTGAGGCTCATTCATCAGTTTTGCCTGCATCTTTTGAAATAAGGCCTTCTGTAAATGTGCATGCCACTCGTCCTCCCACCTTAAATCCAATATCTACATTGCAAAAACATGTGAGAAGTCCATTTGAAGCAATAAATACTAGTAACCCTGTTGTGAACCATGTTGTAAATAAATCTTCATTCATGCCTGAACTATCAGTTGACAATGTTGAGAACAAGGGTACAGGTACTTCAACGATGCATCAGTTGCCTAATCAGCTTGCAGGACTGATTACGTCCAAACAGCAAAATCATGGGCAAGTGCCACAACTGCAGTTTTTTCCATCACAGGATCCATCAACCTCACAATTTAATCGTGGAAGTTCTTTGCAAGGACATGGTGCTTCTATAAGTACAGCCATGTCAAATCCATTGCCTGGTATACAATTCCCTTTACGGGTGCCTAATATTGCAAATAACCCTTTACATTTACAGGGTGGAGCTCTTCCACCTTTACCTCCAGGTCGCCCTCCTACTCCATCACAAATGATACCTCATCCAAATGCTAGTCCATTTATGTCAAGCCAACAACCAGCTGTTGGATATACTAATTTAATTAATTCACTTATGTCTCAAGGTGTAATCTCATTGGCTAACCAGCCTGCAATGCAGGTATCTAATAAAATATCTATCATAAGTTCATTTATTTATTTCCCTTTTTTAATTTTGATTTTGCAAGATTTAGTTAAGTATTTGTTTTTTAGGACTCTGTTGGAACTGAGTTCAATCCAGATATTCTGAAGGTTCGTCATGAGTCTGCAGTCAATGCCTTATATGGTGATCTCCCTAGACAGTGCACAACTTGTGGGCTCCGTTTCAAATGCCAAGAGGAACACAGTAGTCATATGGATTGGCATGTGACTAAGAATCGGATGTCTAAAAGTCGTAAACAGAAGCCTTCTCGTAAGTGGTTTGTGAGTGACAGGATGTGGCTTAGTGGTGCAGAGGCATTGGGAACAGAATCAGTTCCAGGTTTTTTGCCTACAGAAACCATAGAAGAGAGTAAAGATCATGAAGAGTTGGCAGTGCCAGCAGAAGAGGACCAGAATACATGTGCATTATGTGGAGAGCCTTTTGATGAGTTTTACAGTGATGAAATGGAGGAATGGATGTATAAGGGAGCTGTCTACCTGTATGCACCAACGGGAACAACAGCAGGCATGGACAGGTCACAGTTAGGCCCCATAATTCACGCTAAATGCAGATCAGAATCTAATATGCACCCCTCTGAAGATCTTGGGCCGGATGAAAGGGTATCTTTTTTTTTTACCGAGTCTAACATCCGCTAAGCATTTGCCCGAGTTTTATTGTCTACCACTTTAGTTTCTTTGTTCCATTTTAATATTCCTTGATCACTATTATTTTGACTAGTATGGTGATTATGGATGTCAGCATTTCTTCCAAGCAGTCTTCAGTAAATATTGTTCCTCTTTTTTTTTTTTTTTTATATATGCAGGGTGCCGATGAAGAGGGTTCTCAAAGAAAACGAATACGAAGTTGACTAAAGTTGACCAGTTTTGTGCACTGTAACTTATGATTTTCCAATAGTGTATCTTCTTACATATTTTTTAAGAGTAGAGTTGAATCTTGCAATACCATGGCCTCTTGTCAAAGTCGTGTACATGTATAGTTGGACTTTTAACATGCATATTTTCATGAAGCCAAAGGTTACATTTTTAACTTACATTATTTCGTCCCCTGCATTTTGTCCCCAAATCAAAAAACTAATATTGGTACATTATTCAGAGTTTGTTAGTTTTGGGATGGGGTGCAGGGTTTTAAACAATGCAGCGAGACGCTATCCGTTGAGTCAGTAGATTACACCACAGTTGCTATTATCTAGCTGGTAATTGAATTGACAATGGCCTTGTGTACTTCTGTTTGTATTTTATAAACAATCATGCATTCATGGATATGAACTGCAGAGATTTGATCTCTATTTTTCTAACTCCAAGCATTATTTGTTAGTCATTTCTTTTCCTTCCCCCTTTCCTTTCCTTTTTTTTTCTCTCTCTCTAAATTGCTGTCATTTTATTTTTTGATGTCGGGTAATAAAAACAGGTGAAAGAAAATGGGTAATTGTTAATAACTTCAATTGTCTGAAAATTTATTTATGAAAAAAAATCATAACCAAGAATTTTTGGTTCGCGTTATTTTAGATGTTTCAAAATAAATTTCAGATGTTACGGAAAGTGTCCGATTCACTTTATTTTAATAATTTATGAAAAAAGATTCCTAATATGTGCTTACTACGATCCAGTAATTATACGCCTAAACATTCATTTAAAGAAATATAGAGAATGTACTTAAACTAAATATTGCTAGTCATGTGAACTATACATCAAAATAGTCAGTCACCCAATTCACACTACATTTTTTCCCATAGAAAGTCCTTATCAAAGATCACCTTCCAACTTATCAGAAAAATAAACAGACTCGCCTTGCCCCTCTGAGAAAATCAAACATGGGTACCTACCAAACTGAAAGCGTCATATACCAGAGTAATCCACGACCCAAATTCTCTCTTGTAACTAAACGTTTAGTTACATTAATTTTGTATTTTAGCTTAAATAAAAATGTAAAATTTTGCTTAACTGAAACTGTCCAGTTCACATATTCACTCATCCATTTGCAGAATATTTATTATTCTAGACCTGAAGTTTATATCACTTATTCTCTTTTAACCTTTACTATCATAGACATTTTACCGTTTGTTTATTTCAAAAGGAAGAAAAAAATGAGAAAAATTCTAATTTAATTTAAAAATTAAGAAAACATTTTTCTATATCAATATTCATATTTTAACCAAATTAAACATATTTTCTTTCTTTTTATATTTTCTTCTTATTTACAAATAATTAAATACTGCACCCTGCACTTTCTCATGATTAGATTCGATTATCAATTAGTACGAAGCTTATACTGTATCCATGATAACATCACGTTTAAGCGGAGATACGGTGCCGATGTTCTGGTTATGCAAAGAATTTGTTTGATATAATAAATATTTTTCATTAAAAAATTATTTAAAATACTTAAAATTAATTTTATAGAACTGGTCCTGTTATTTTTCTTAAAATATTGCACTTTGAATAATTCTAATTTTTATTTGGTTTTTATGTTTATAAATGTTTTTAATTACTCTCTCTATTTTATTTTAGATGTCACTTAATACTAATGTACATATCTTTAAAAAATAATTAATTTTATTATTATAATAATAAAATAATTTAATGTATAAAATACTCTTATTAAAAGTGTTGAAATTATTATAACAATCAGTCGGTAAAAACCTATCTTTAATAAATAAAAATACTATTAAAAATAATTATTTTTAATGTTTTAAAGAAATAAATAATTTAAAATAAATAAAAATGTCTAAATAATATTTAACATGAAATAAAATTTTTTAAATAATAATATATTTTACATTTAAAAAAATAAAATATACTCTTCTTTACTTAATGTTTATTTTATAAAATATTAAAAAAATAATTAAAAATATAACAAAACTCAAGCACGTTTTATTTGGCAAGAACAAGTTCTTACTTCTTAACTAGGTGTACGGTTAGATTCATTTTCAACTCCACCGTACATATTCAATGATTTTACCTTCACGTGGTGTACCTTCACCTGCATTCACTGACCTCTGTCACTGCATTATATCCTTTTTCACTGTATTTGAATTTGTATAAACAAAAAGAAAAAAAAAATATATATATATACAAAAAAAAAAAAATTTTACATAAGTATAAATTTTAAAACTTTTACACTTAATTTAATTTTTATATTTATCTTAAATCTAAAAGAAAAGACAAAAAAAATGAAAGCTCAAAGATAAGAAAAAAGAAAATAATTTGTAAATATTAATCAATAAAAAATAATGTATATATATAACCTATGTAACCTCAAATCAAGAAAGAGAAAAAAAGTAATAACAGAAAATGATACAACTCAGCAGATTCTTAACAAATAATAGCAGAGAAAGAAATAAAATAAGGAAGAAAACAAAATGATAAAATTGTACAATAAAACAGAAAAAGAAAAAATTCTATAGATAAATGAAAAGACTATAAAAATTATTTTTGTGATGAATTGTGTTCTTCTTCTTTTTCTTTTAGCCGTCCACGAGTTAAAGGTTCAAAGATATCATGAAGCTCAAGCTTGGAAAGATTGGAGTAAAACAACTTTGGAGGCAGGGCTTTAGTAAACATATCGGCAAGCTGATGAGAAGATGAAACTGGAAGGAGGTGCATTAGTCTGGAGAAGAGCTTTTCACAAACTACGTGTGACAGTCAATTTCCAAGTGTTTGGTTCGTTCATAAAATACTGGATTTGCAGCGATGTAAAGGGCACTTTGACTATCACAGTATAATGCAACACGCTTAGCATAAGGAACCCATAAGTCTCTAAGTAGATTAAACAATCATTGGAGCTCACATGTGGCTGATGCTAGAGCTCAATATTCATCTTCAGCAGAAGAATGGGAAACAGTAGATTGCTTTTTAGTTTTTTAGTAACCAGTGAGCTTCCAATGAAGAAATAGTAGCCACTCACAGAATGACGAGTATCAACACACGTGGCCCAATCGGCATCACTGAAGCTAAGTAATTGAGATAAAGAATTCCGGCTAAAAAAGAGGCCTTTACTAGGATAACCTTTTAGATAACGGACAACTCTCAAAGCATCCAGATAGTGGGAATGAGTGAAGGCAACCATGAATTGACTAAGTTGTTGGGTTGCACAGGTGATGTCTAGCCGAGTACTGGTGAGATAAATTAGACGACCAACTAAACGTCTATAGGATAGGGGATCATCAAGAGGTTCACTAGAATCATGATGAAGACGCAGCAAGTTGTCCATTAGTGTGGAACATGGTTTAGAACTTTGAAGGCCTGCACTGTGATTAAGTCCAGACAATATTTTCTCTGGCATAAAGAAGTGCCAGAGGATGAATGGACAACTTCAATGCTTAAAAAATATTTTAGTTTACCTACATTCCTGATATGAAAGTTAGATTGCAAAATGTATTTGATATTGTCAATTTCAACAATAGAATTTCCAACTAGAACAATATCATCAACATAAATGATCAAAGCAGTAAAAATGAAACCTATGGCTTTAGTGAAAAGACTGTGATCAGCGTGAGCTTGCTAGTATCCATGAGATAGTAACAAATTAGACAATTTTTTAAACCATTTTCTGCTAGCTTGCTTCAAACCATAAAGTGATCTTTTTAATTTGCAGCATTGAGATGGATGATATCCATCGAGTCCTGGTAGAATAAGCATGTATATGTCCTCATTTAAGTTCCCATAAAGAAAATCATTACTAATATCAAGCTGCTATAGATTCTAGTTGTTGATGGAGGCTACTGCCAGGAGAACTCGAATTGTGCTCATCTTGACCACTAGAGAAAAGATTTCCAGATAATCAATACCTTTGATTTGGGAGTAGGCTTTAGCCACTAATCGCGTCTTGTAACTCTCCACTGAACTATCAGGACGACGCTTAATTTATATACCCACTTACAACCAATTGGCTTCACATTAGGAGAGGTATGGACAATATCCCATGTTTGGTTTTGAACTAAGGCTTGAATCTCGGCTTTCATGGCCTCCTACCAGCAAGGATGTTTAACAGCTTTATGATAGGTGGATGGTTCTTGTTTAGAGGACAGGCTCATGAGAAAGTGAGAGTGGGATGGAGAAATCTAGGAATAATCGACCAAAGCTTGTACAAGATATGAAATCTTTGTAGTTAATTGGTTTGAAGTTGTTGAAGCAGAGAGTGAGGAGCTGGGGTAGGCGTTACACTCATAATCAGGGAGGTAGATGGGACAGTGGTGCGGACGATTGGAGCGGCGAGTTGGTTGGGGTTATGGTACAGATAGGGAAGGCACAGAAAGTGGGTTGATCAGAGTAGGCTGTGAGCTAGGAAAGGAAGGAGAGGAAGAAGATGAGGTGTTGGGTACTATTTCGGAAGGAAGAGATGGGATGATGTTGGGCTGCAGAATTGTGGGGGTGACGTGATCAAGAAAACTTGTGTTAGGGAGATGGTGGTTTTGGAATGGGTTTTGGTTATTGGGTTGTGAACCAGTGGCAATTTTAGCATAAGGAAAAACTAATTCATTGAATAACACATTTCTTGACACAAATATTTCTTTGTTATTTAAATCTGAAATAACATATCCCTTGGTGCCATTTTCAAAACCTAGAAAAATATAACGTCTAGCACGTGCATCAAATTTTTGTTGAGAAGGATGTGTTGAAGTATAACATAAACAACCAAAAACTTTTAACATAGAAAAATCTGGGTTTTGCTTATGTAATAATTTAAAGGGAGTTTGATTATTAATTATGGGGGATGGAATGCGATTTATTAAGTAAAGCACATGTTTTATGGCATATGACCAAAAATGTTTTGGAATTTGGGATTGAAACATAAGGACTTTAGCAACATTAAGGATGTGTTGGTGTTTTCGTTCAACCCGTCCATTTTGTTGGAGAGTATAGACACAACTTGTTTGATGAGAATTTCTTTAGAAGAAAAAAAAAATTTAAAAAAATTTTGGGCCATTATTGGAGCGAATGCATTTAATGGTGGTGTTTAATTGATTTTCAATTAAGGTGACAAAATTATGGATATATGCTCTTACTTCTCCATTAGATTTTAATAAAACTATCCATGTGTAAGGGCTATGATCATCCATAATGGTGAGAAAATATTTATGACCATGAATGGAGGATTGTGAACATGGACCCTAAATATCCATATGAAGTAAATCAAAAATATTAGAAGCTTTATTAATACTTGAGGAATAGGACAATTTTCTTTGTTTAGCTAAGTGACAAATGTCATAATATTCTTCAATATGTATTGAAATAAAAGGAAAACTAGAATGAAGAAAGTTAAGACGTTTTTCGAAAAAGTGACCTAATCTAAAATGCCAAAGGTTGGAGTTGGTGATGGGTGGTGTGGAAAAATTATTGATGATCTCCAAGTATAACTAACATCCTTGTTGATTTCCAAGTAGTACAATCCATTCTTCAGCTTAGCCAAACCAATCATCTTCAATGATTTTATTTCCTGTATTTGACAATGAGATCTAAAGAAAGTTAAGTATATTTGAGAGAAGATAAAACTTTAGAGATGGAAAGAAGATTGAACTTAAAATTTGAGACATAAAGAACATTATGAATAATGAATTGTGATGATATTTGAACAATGTCAGACATGTGAGCAACAACTGTAGAGTCATTAGGTAAATTGATATGCACAGGTTTGATTTTTGAAAATTTTAAAAAATTGTTAAAAGAGCAAGTGATATGGTTTGTTGCTCTGGAGTTAATTATCCAAGGAATATTATTGTGTGTAAGTGACAAAAATAGTAGGATCTGTGTGTGCTTCAGACCAAAAAGTGTGGTGTGGTGGTGGTGCAAAAGGAAAAACGAATACCAAAACTCATATTGGGTGAGGAGTCAGGTGGACAAGTTTTGGACACTTAAGAGAGGTTGGCATGTTTGGGTTGAGTGGTGGTTGTTGCTCGGTTAGTTTCAGGGTTGAGATTTTATTGCTGCAGGAGACCTAGAAGGCTTTGATATTGGGCCTTAGCTAGGTTGAAGCCTAGCTCATTAGATGTGTTATCCTGAGAGGAGAAAGCACGTGTGACTCCTTCATTAGCAGCGCTGTTAACAACAACAGAAGAGAAGTTGTTGTCACGGTTGTTGAAGCGTGGTTGGCCTAGGTATTTTGGGTGTCCAGGAGGGTAGTCATGTTTGCCATAGCAAACATCTATTGTGTGTCCAGTACGACCGCAGTAAGCACATTTTTTGTTGGATCTGAATCGTGTATTTCCTCCTGATGGTCCTTCAGTGGTTATTCCTCTGCGTCCTTTGCCGTAAGATGAATGTGATGCATTGACAAATGCATTTGGTTCATCAATGGTGGTGGTTGAAGAGTGTTGGCATTCCTATTGAATCACCATGGAAAAAACACAATTTATGGATGAAAGTGGGTCCATTAAAAGGGTCTTGGAGAGAATGACTGTGAACTGGTCGTCGAGACCTTTCAGAAACTGGATTATAAAATCCTGTTAGTGGTATAGTTTTGCAGAACAAGTGCAGACTGAGAAAGGGCAAAAATTGTTCAGCTCTTCCCACAAAGACTTTAGAGTTGTATAATAGTCGGAGACCGAATAGGAGCCTTGTTTTAGACCATCGGAGCTCTGCTATACAAAGGAGGTCGCTCTGAGAGAATCATTTTCGAAGGTCCGTCGATACATCTATCGCGGGGTCAAGGAATATAACGCTTTGTGCAGCAATGGGAGGAGACAATGAACTCAACAGTCAAGACATTATGAGAGTGTTACAACACTCTCAAGAAGGATAAATGCAATCTGTGGCTGCTAGTGTAGGAATGGTACCTGTCAAAAAATCCATCTTGTTTTTAGATATTAGAGCCATTCGGATTGAACGGGATTAGGAATGATAGTTGCTGCCATTTAAGGCTGGAGTGACAGAGACAGAGGATAGATTTTCACTAAGGTGAATGTGATATGGACTAGAGGGGTCAAGACAAGGATCATGTGGTTGGAAAGTCTCAGCAGCAGTAGAATTAGAATCAAACATTGCAATAGATGTTGAGGGATTAGTAGAGCTCCAAGGTGAAGCTCTGATACCATAAAAGAAAAGGCAAAAAAAGAGGAATGAAGGCTCAGAGACAAAGAGAAAGAAAATGATTCGTATATATTAATCGAGAAAGAATAGTATATATATACAACCTATGTGACCTCAAATCAAGGAAGAGGACAAAAGGTGATAAGAGAAAATGATACACCTCAGCAGAAAATGATACAACTAAGTATATTTTTAACAAACAACAGCACAGAAAGAAACAAAATAAGAAAAAAAACAAAATGGTAAAGCTGTATAATGAAACAAAAAAAGGAAAAACTCTACAAATAAATGAAAAGATTATGAAAATTATTTTTGTGATGAATTATGCTCTTTTTCTTCTTTTAAAATCTAGCGGCCAATAAAATAATATATATAGAGAGAATATCATATAATATTATATATATATATATATATATATATATATATTATATAATTTTATCACACTTTAATATCATACAAATATTACTATAAAATATTTAAAAAATTTAAAAAAATATTTTATGTGCATAGATCCAAAAAATAAATAATATAATATTAATTTAGAGTTAACAAAATAAACACACTTAATCAAATTGGTTTGAACTTTGAACTCATATCATAAAATATAAATTTAAAATATAAAATAAATTCAGACTTTTTAAACTCAAAATTAGTAAAAGGTAATACAAGATGAACTTATGAAAACTCACTAAAAACCTGAGAGAGTTTTATATGGTTTACATATCACTTTTACGAATTTAATTTTTCTGGAATTGTGGTTTTACTAGCTTTATGTCTATCTCACTTATATTTTATGAATACGTAGATATTCATTTAAATTCACATTTTTTACATCCTACCTCTGTAATTATTGGTCACTCGTATTTTACCATATGTATTTTTTTAATTACGAAATTTATACAATGACAAATAAAATAAAATTGATGAGAATCGTGTTACCAAAATATTTTCTCTCCTCTCTTTCTCTCTCTTTATGGGGTGATGAATTTATAGTGGCCCAACGGCATTCAGCAGTGCAGTTAGCCCCCATGAGCGATAATTCAGCACCTTCATTTCTGCGTTCTTGTGATGGGCAGCAGAACAAGGAAGCGACGAACCTTATTAATTTTCGCCCCTCCAAATCAACCAAGCTATTAATTCTTTCCATCACTTTTAGGCGCATTGCAGGGCTGAGATACGGTGCATTTTCCTTTTCCCTTTACTACTATAAAGGGTGGATCTGTGGCGACTTTAATCATGACATGACCATCGTCAACTTTATTTGGTTTGGTGGCTATGTCAATGGTACAATGATATGATAATCTGATATCATTGTAAATTGTGCAGACTAGAGGAACCACCACCCTATTGCCTACACCTGATCATGAAAAGTTGTATGCATTGTATACGGACACTTCGCCTGCATAACGAAGATCCCACAGGTAAGATATTGCACCACCACTCAACGTTTCTTCAGTTCGTTACCTTTTGATGTACTTGTGGTCTTTCGAGGTTACAGAATATGATATGATAGATGATGGTAGAGTCAATGTATTCATTGTTTTTCTTTATTGGAATTAGATGGGTGGAATGCGATTAAGAAACTTCTATTACATTTCATTTCATCTGATAATAAGCTTATTGCTCTTTTTTTTTTCACTACTGTATTTTTGGGGGGTATAAGATATAACAACTTATTACTAACTAATATTTTCATTGATTCAAAAATTAATAATAGAATAATTTTATTAAAATTAAGATAAAATTAGTGCTTAATCCTGTAATGTTTCGGTTTTTATATTTTTATCTCAATTTAGTATTTTATTATAATACCATTAATTTTAGAAAAAAATTAATTTTTTTAATAATTATTGAAATTGATGGAAGTATTTCTCTGGATATTGTATTGAGATCAAAATATAAAAAATTATTGATTAAAATGAGAGATTAAAATATAAAAATTAATTCTATTTTCATCAAATACTAATTTTGAATTTTTTTTATTTTTTCTTTTTCAACCTATGATTATTGAAATTGGTTGAGATTTATTTTAAATGTCAAGTTTTGATTAACATATCAAAATATTATTATGTAATTTTATTTACTAAAATAAGAGATTAAAACAAGTAGTTCTTTTAAGATTTATTTTGCTTTAACTATGGATATTTATAATTTGAAATTAATTAATTAAATTTCTCTTATATTTTACTCGCATTTCCTAGTCATAATATATAGATTTTGATTCTCCCAAAGCCATGGGTAGACAAATCAAAGAGCATTGCGTTCCGGACCACAACATATGTACTACTTCCAATTATTGCCTAAACTCTCTGTGCGATGCATCTACTATATATGTAGTGCTTAGCTCTATTCACATAAGACCCATCCACGATATATTATCTGTCTGTTGGCCTACTTCCAATTATTTGCCTTTTAAGGCAAAAATAAAATAAAATACTCAGCCCTGCAATATTTATTCATGTTCCCCTAAAAACCACTAGCTCAGTTGATCAGATGGACGAGGAAGTGAAACCAAATATTTGTATTATTATTATTATTAACGTGAGTTTGGATTTAATTAAGAAAGTTATTGGCGTCTTAAATTGTCTTCCACAGAAGATATATGTGGAAAATGTTAACAAAAGAGTTCAGTTTCAGTATCTATGATATTGTCCTTCCCATACTTTGGAGACTGGGAAATACATTTTTTGAATTTATTTTTACATAACCTCACAAATTGAGCATTTGATTTAATTAGTTTTTTTTTTTTACCAATAGTTTTTCGAGTATGTATACCCAACAACATGTAATAAATGGGTGAAAAAAAAATTATTGGAGCCAGTGCATTAATTTTGTGTCATATCTTTAGGTATTGAATTTTTCCTTACATTGATTGGTAGGCCACAACTCATAAATAAGGATGCTTTCTTTCTGTTGTATTTTTTTTGCATTGATTGGTTTTACCGGCCCAAAATTTGATTTCAAAGATATTATATCTTTTAAAAGATCTAAATACTATAATTTTGTTTCCCGAAAAATATATTTTGTTTAAAGTTATAGTAGTCACTCCTGTTTATACGGTACACATTTCTTACAACTCAAAACTAAACTATATTCTTCTTTCATTTAAAAAATATATTCATTATAAGGTTTAGCTTAATAATTATAGAAGACATTAAATACTCTTATTTTTCAAATAAAAATACAAGGTAATTTGATTGTATTATTATTTATTAATGTTCTCTTATTCGAAGTTAGTGAATTTTTGTTTTGTTGCGTTGGAATGAATGAAAAGGAAAGAAATTTAGGTTTTGAGGGGGCTACACCCGGAGGAAGAGGAGTGGAAGACTGGAAAATGAATGGTTTATTTTTGGTGAGATAGTTTGCACAATAGTTTCCTTCTATAATGATTGAATGACGTGATCTAAGAATGAGTTGCTAAATTAATGATATTTCCAAATTAACGTTGAGTATTTATGAAATTTGAAGGGGTTGAGTCCAACAAATTAAAGTTAGGACTTCCTTAGAATTGAACTAGCAAACACTATGAATGAATCTGAACATTTCAAGCTAGGATTAACCCTTGATATATAAGTAGTAAGGAGCTTCGCATGGAGGTTTTCTAAATACCAATTACCATAATCGTTTTAAGAGGGTCACCCTTCCCTGGATTACCAAGCAAGCTCTCCCATCAACGTTCAACAGTATAGAATACTAGGGTGTAAACGCGCGTCCCTATACTCCTCAAGTAAAGTTGCTGGTGGCTTCAGGTTAAACATGGATTTCATAATCTTGACAAACTGAATTGTGATAAGCACAGCTGAGGTACGTTATTTCAAGCCTTTTCCTAACAAAAAAATTGGCCATTCCTTAATGTCTAAACCCACTAAATTAAAGAGCTAGTGGATAAAACCATTGAGCATTAAGTGAATTACTTTAGTAATCTACATATGCAGGTTTAAAAGAGCTCATACACCCCTAATCATTTAGACCACCTAGGCAACAAATATACCTTAAAATTATTGGATTTTGACTTTCTATAAACAAGAGTACTAGAAATACGGTGCCTGTTTGATAGTGTCTTTAGTTTTCTGTTTTCAAAACTGTTCTTGAAAATAGAAGAAAAGAAAAATTGTTTGATAATTGAGAAGTTACTTTTTCTCTCTTTCATTTTATATCTGAAATGATAAAGATGTAAGCTCAAGGAGAGAGAGGAGAGAAGGGTTCTTGAAAATAGAAGAAAAGAAAAATTGTTTGATAACTGAGAAATTACTTTTTTCCATTTCATATCTGTAATGATAAAGATCTAAGCTCAATGAGAGACAGGAAAGAAAGGTATTAAGGGTAATGGAGTGCAAGTGCTATAACACCGTTTTCCATGGCTTCTCTATAGTTGAACAAGCTGCATCCCTCACGCTATTTGGGTTTGTCGCTGCCTTGGAGGATGGTGGTTAGGTGTGCGACAATACATGTTTTGGTGGTATCGGTTGCTACGATCAATGGGGGAGGTTGTGAAGGTGGCTTGAGTGAGAACTTCGAAAACAAAAAACTAGGACAAAACACCTGAAAAGGTGCTATGAGATTTCGTTTTTAAAAACTTAAAAGGAACATATAAAAACTGTTTTGAGAAAGTGATGCTAGCAAACAAATTCTATTGCTTTTTATTTTATAAAATCAGATAACTGGTTTTTAAAACAGTAAACAAACAAATTATATTCATTTAACACTCCTAACATTCTTTAAGTATCATAATCCATGGAACATTTTCTACTTGTTTAACCTGTTTATTAAATTAAAGAAAAAATATTTAATACAGTACTAATTATTCCTTTTAGTATCTCTATTCAATTTAGAATATTATCAATTGCAAAATACTAGTAGCTTTAAAGGGATAAAATTACACAAATAACTTCATCGAGTCTAACAAAAGCATATCGCTCAAACTCATAAAACGAAGCTATATATGCAATTATGGTTGTAACGACTGTCTCAAAACAAAAGGGACATTGAAAAGACAAGAAATTTGTTCAAGTCTACATGTCAACATCAGAAAACACTTGAAGAAAGTTTTCTCCAAGTCTACGACATAATAATAAAAGGTCTACGCAAAAATTAAGAAAGATCAGGTGAAATCTAAATTAATTACTATATCTATTCTATATATATATATATATATATCAAGGTCTGATGGAACAACTTTCGTCTTCAAAAGGGAAAGTCAATGCCCGAACCTAACAGTTCTACTGTTAGGTAGAAAAGACTCTAAGGTGCGTTAATTGACTTGTTTCCCTTGTTCCGAACACTTAAGTATGTACCACCCTCCTAGCTTGTCATCTTTCTCTATCTTTGTTAAAACTGCATCACAAGAAAATAGTACGTTAGCAAATGCTCTTGAGATTTTTTTTCAGCATAAAACAAATACATGATAAAATTCAAACAAATGAACATCAATCATAAACTTCCAATGTAAATTAAAATTTAATATATACTATACATCAATTTGCTTACTATTTGATGGCTCAGCAATTAGGTGCTGTCACACCACTGCAGCTTTGATCCGTTCAACTGTGCACTTAATTAAACTGTTAACAGTGGTCACTGAACCAACAGATAATTTTGCTGTAGGAGCTGAATCAACCAATATCTGAAATGCAACAGTTAGTAAACAACCTCCAGATCCAACATCAAGTATGGGCCCTAAGTTGTTTAGTCCAGGCCCATCAGGAAGAATAGCAAAACCCGAGGGTAGCAGGGCAACATAATCTGGATCTCCACCACTCAACACTACATTCATGGCAACTATGTCAACAGGAGCATAAACTACGTATGAGCCTGTAGAATCAGTGCAACTCTCCTGAAGTATAAGCATATTGCTTTGGCTGGAATTTGGACTCTACAATTAGCATTTACCAAAAGACATGTTAGGCTATTCATAATTAATGAGATTTACATATAATCTAGAATGTCCCAATTGTGCCTCAGAGGCTAGCATGCTAAACCAGCAACTTACATTGACACGAAGTAAAGAGACACAGTTCCCAGGATCACGACCATTTGCTATGTGTGCCATTTCTTGAACCAGACCCCCATTGGAGAGAATATCCCACTGTCAATTCAACAAAATGTTTGTAAATTTGAAGAGGAATGAACAATAGCTACCAAGTCTCCATCCAAGGCCAAGAATCAATCAACGTATGCATTATCTACCAATGTTATATACTAATAAAACTGTCTGTTGTTATATCAAAATAACTGAGGCAAACGCAAAGCTAAACTAATATATGACATTGTATGTAAGCATTGAAACCTTATACATTACCTCCCTTCTTGAGTTTTCATCTCGAAGAAAATCAAAAACCCTCTTTGAAGAAACTGGGAGCCACAAAGAAGTTGCTGCACTGAGAACTATACCCGGAGGTCTACCTGGTTCATCCATACTCTTTCTGGTCATGACCCTTACATCATCACAACCAGTTGTTAGGGCTGTCCAAGCATGTGCTGTAGAAGCACCAACACCAGTACAAAAACTCATTATCATTCTCTCTGCCAGCTTCAGCATACTTTTCCTTCCCTCATGACTGGTTATCACTGAATATATATACATACAAGGATTCAAAGTCACAGTAGTTAAATGATTTATTTTTCTAATGCTTTACACCCTTCTCACACAATCTTAAAAATGAATGGATCAAAGAAAAGAGAAAAAAAATGAAGAAAGATAATTAGATATCATATACCACAAAGATCTCCTGCTGGTATGTTGGTAGCCATGGCACTAGCAAGACGTTCGCATTGTCGATCCAATGATGCCACCCATCTTCTAGCTCCAAAGGCAAGGCCAGAATTAACTAGGAGTTTATAAAGACTATTCACAGCTCTATCATCCACTTCTACATGTTCAACCCATGTAACCTGAAGAAAACAATTAATATTCAATGGTAAGTGGTAACAACAAATTTACTTAAGCTTCTTTTTCTTGGGACGTAATGTAACCATCATACAAGTTTAATTTGAAATCACACCTTGGAGTAACCATTAGGCAATTCTTGTATTAAACAACCAGAGGGTCGTCTTCGGCTTCTTGAGATTGCACTGGGTCGCAGATGATCCAAGGAAACATCAACCACAGCCCATGATTCATCTGAGTGCTGCTTACAGTACCTTACGAAATAGTTGTCACGAGTAGGAACAAGCGGTGAAGGGACCTGGAACTCAGCTGACATCTGAAACAACAAATGTTGTTCGATGAAAATAGTGCACTTCATTTACTGTCGTTTAATAATCAATTCTCACGAGAAGTTACAAACTTAAGACTCAAGTAGAACTGTAGAAGGAAGAAAAAAACACAGCATACCACTTGCAAGGCTCCATTGTAGTTTCCTGCCACTCCAGTTGACAGGACTTCAAGCGTCATTGCTCTTGAAACAATACCACAGAACACGGTCGACCATTGATTCTGAAAATCGTAATCGATAGAAATAAGGCATTCACCTCAACTAGGTTAATATGATTCTGAATATTGTTGGAATTAAAAAACATACATGTATTTTAGATCATGCAAATATTATAATTATAAACTGAAGAGTTTAATTCTAAAGTAAAGTTACTGTAAAAAAAAACCTATATTATTAATTAATTGAAATACACCACACACGTCATTTTAAAATTAATTAATTAATATTTAATTATAATTATATTTGAAATAATTTTTAAAAAGTAAAAATAATAAAATAAAATAATGACAACAAATCAATATAAATATTATTATATACTTAACGAATAATATTCAACACAATTATATTTTATTCTGAGCAAATGATAATCAATTATAATAAAATTATGGACTATGTGTTGTATCATATCATATCCTATTTTATAGTTGGGAACAATGATACTCACCACATCCATAAGGATCTCAACGAGGTTAGTATGATTCATGATAACCACAACAGATTCCCTTGTAGCTTCGGATTTTAGCCCCAAAGGTTTAGGACCTATTCCCCTAGGGAAAATCCTCAAGTATTCATCTTCATTTAGAAGCTCAGTGCCATGGTTACCAGGGACCCATAGAGGGTCTCCAGCGAGAGCCATCCTTGTGAGTTCCTCCATTGCTGCAACAGCGAGCTCCACAATCATGGGTTTGTCCGAATCAGTAGGAACTGGGAGTGTCCTTAGAAGGTCATTGCCACCATACATTTCCCCTACCATCCCTGACTGTGCTCCATAGTTACCAACTCCCAGATCAAGCGACCGCGAAGCCATGTTGTTTTGAGATGGCAGGTTATAGTAAGAAGTCGCAGGTTTTCCATATTTGACTGCTACTCCTGACATCCTATCAATCTGAATTATAAGAGTAGAACAAAATAAAAAGAGAGAGCTTAGTTTAACTAAGAAAGAGAGAGATTAGAAACAAAAGAAATCGTAAAGAAAACGAGATAAGATGATTATACAAGGGAGAGAGAGTGAGAACAATCTTAAATATAAAATCAATTTAAGCATTAAAGGTAATATTTTTTTAATTAAAAAAGTATTTATTATGCTAATGGTAGTCTGGTAGAAAGTATAATAAATAATTTTTTAATAAAAACTATTACTTTTTAAAATATTTTAATTTAAATCAATAAAAAAGTGTTATATATGAATAATATTTCTGTGAAAAATCCTTATATAACTCGCTAGAGATCATCAAATTGTTATAGTAGACAAATTGGTTTTGTGGGTGTAGCTGTTTACCTCTTCTCTTAATCGTGCATTCTCGATCCTTAAGTGCTGCTCATCAAAGGACATTTCCCCAAGCGCAGCCGGGCCTCCACAGTTAGGGCATGTAGTATTAGTTAGGGCTTCCTTGTACCTATTATTCTCTGCACGAAGCTTTTCGTTCTCAGACTTCAAAATACTGTTCTCCTGTCGTTCTTGATGAGCCTATAAATACACGATGAAAAAATTGTTAATTAATGGTGCAAGAAATGTATCTTTTAATGACTATATTTTAGTGACAAATATAAAATTTGTCACTAATAATTACTAATAATTAATTATTTATGACAAACTTTTTAATATTGTCAATTATATTAATAATAATAATAATAATTTAATTAAAAATTGTCACTAATAATAATAATATATTAATTATAAATAATTTAATAATATATAATATTAATGTTTAAGAAATAATTTTTAAAAATATTAATGTTTAAGAGTAGTTTAAAAAAATAGCTTAAAAGAGTATAAAAACGACTTTGTGATTTTGTTTTTCTTTTTTAAATTATGTTTCATGAGTTTGTTTTTACATCAAATATTTAATTTTTTTTAATTTAATCAGTTTATAATTTATTCAATTTTTTTTTATCTTTTTGCAATAGTTTCTTATATCATTAATATGAAATTGGTCTAATTTAATTTTTTATTTTGAGTTTAAGTATGTGTACACTATCTTATTTGAATAAAATTGTATGAAAGATATTTATAATTATCAAATTAAAAAAATTAATTTTTAAACTTTAAAATACTATTATAATAATTAATTTTTTAAATGCTACGAATTATGTTTGTTGACTAAACTATCTCTAGCAACTTTATAGTTTTTTTTAATTTTACTTTTAAATTAAAATGAGCCTTCTTTAACTTGATTTTTTAAAAACTAATTTATTCTTATAAAATTTAAATTCAAAATGGTTAATATTTATTATTTAACATTTTATATAAGGTAATAAGATAAATTTATTAAATATAAATGTAGAAATTTATTAACAATATTTAACATTTTATACTTATTAATTGATTGATTTGTATTTATTAATATTTTTCTTCTATTTTAGTTGTTTAATTTAATATTAATTTTTTATTTTAAAATTTTAATATATTGAAGATGTATTTTAATTTTATTTATAATTTTTATGTGTAAATTTTTACTAGATATTTATTATATTTAAATTTATGATTCAAAATATTCTTTTATAATTTATCATTTATGATTTTATAATTTATCTAATAGTGATCAATAAATTAGTCATTATTTTTAAAATAATAATGATTAATAATTATCTCAAATGTTATAGATATTATTATTAAATTATCTTATCATTAATACTTGTATATATTAGTGACATTCATAATAAATATTTTATTTTAATGACTATGTAGTATTATTATAGATATAATAGTAACTTAAGTATCAATTATGATGAATTTAAATATCGGACAAATATATTTTAACGATAATTTTTAATTTTTTGTAGTAACATGTATTTGATACATTTAAGACAAGCAGTAGTAAGAGTAATTTAGTCTTGTAATACTAGAGCACTAGTGATGAAACCCTTATCCCTCTTCTCATCTCATTAATGTTCTTTAATAAAAAAATTAATATACGTTCTTATTTTTGTTTTATTGAAGTTTTTTTTTTTAATTAAAAGCTATGAAAAAAAGTCAAGAGCAGGTAAAAGTAACTTTGACCAAGTTTATGTTTTAAAAAAATATAAAAATAAGTTTTTTTAAGTTCTTTCGCAGAATTAAAACACTGAGTAATTATTTCTTTAAAGCAAGTTTAAAGAATTATCATTAAAAGACAAACTTAAGGAGTTATTTATGGAACTGTTATAAAGGGTTCTCTTTTACCTTCACTTGGGTGCGCTTGTTCTGGAACCAAAACTTGATTTGCAAAGGTTCTAACCCAAGCTCACGACTCAGCTCTTTCCTTTGCTTGTCATCTGGGTGAGGGCACTCCTTGAAGAAGCTGACAAAAAACAGAGTTTAATAATTAATATTATAGAGTATGCAAACTAAGCAAGCATTAAATATTTTAGTCTTACATAATAAAAGGTGCATTGCAACAGTTACACTTACGCTTCCATTTCTTGTATTTGGTGTTGTGTGTGGCGGTGGTAACGCTTCTTTTTCGGTCGTTGGTTGGGATCTTGGTCGTCACCAGATGGAGGAGCTTCCATTATCTCATTGCCAGATCTAATCTCGTAATCATCTCCCATTCTGTTCCTTCCCAATTCACTATCCGAGGATGTCTTGTGCGACGACATGTCAATCATGTTTTGGTGGGGATCGTACACGTTTGTCTGATACATGCTGCAAATTCTCAAGTCTCAGAAGCCACGGTCTAATCTTCAATCTGCATGCCGGCCAACATAAGAAGCAAAAAACACTCAACATGTGTGAAACAATTATACAGAAGTTAGTAGAAAAATATTTTTATTTTATTTTAACAGTAAAAAACGCTTCATGCAGCCTCAGTCTCACCATTCAAATGAGATATAAGGAAGACCAAAATTAAGAAAATAAAAAATAAAACAAAGTGGTTTGGCAAAAGCTTCTCAAAGAAAGGCCAAGAAGGCCTATAAAATTGAAGTGAAAAAAAAAAAAAAAACCCTTTTGTAACCATCAATTTAATCCTTGGTGACAACCATTGATTGAAGGAGATAGCCACCAACAGCTACAATTGATGGGAGTTCTCTGAGCAAAAAGGTCAGAAGAAAAGAAAAGGCTTCATATAATGCTGTATAACTAGGAAGAAATTAAAGAGCTTTACCTCCCATATCTTATTAGATCTTGCATATAAGGTATGAGAATGTTAGCTTTCTGTCCATTCAAATTTCTGTTCTAGTCTTGCAAGCTTCAAAATCCGTACAAAAATGTACTTCATCTGTTATTAAGAAATAAATAGCAAGAAATGAAATTAAAGAGAGGAGGTGCTCACCTGGATTTTGATCGACCTAGTTGATGGGTAGATGCATTTCTTTTCCGACCACCACTTTACAAACCCTAAACTGATCAAAACACCACCCTCTTCTACTAATGAAGTATGTACCTTCTACCTCCTCTTTATATCTCTTGAATTGTAGGTGTGCTTTTTAATTTGGCTCTGGAATTATATATACTGAGAGTGTCGCTTGCGGAGAGAGAGTAGGAGAGAGAAAGTTAGTTCAAAATTCTCTGTATCAGCCACAAAACAATGAGCAAAGTTAATAAGGTTAGTAAAAGCTTCAAGAGGGCATAAATGACTTTTTGATTATGCTTCAATTTAATAGTCTTAATAACATGAAAAAAATAATATATTTTTAAGAAAAAACGAAGAGGGATTCAGAAGAAGACATAATAAAAAGAGTTGACGTAGTGTGAAAACGTTGACACTACCCAGAAGAAAAAATTAATAAAGAACGCTCACTTAGTAAGTGGGACTGAGATTGAAGAAAGTGCGTCCAACCTGTGCCCCTCTCTCTCTTTGACCGAAAGAAAGTAACCGAAGCATGGATTAAATATATGAAAGTCAAAAGTTGAAATATACGTTCATGAAGAGAAACAGCTTAAAAAGAGGCACTTGAGGGTTGAAGGAAGAACCTAAGAGAGAGTGGTTGAATAAAACTGAAGAGTAGGTCACTGGAGGAACTTGAGGGAGGGATTTAGGGATCCAGAGTTGTTGTTTTGCGGGATGGTAAAAAAAAACAATTAAATGAACAAAGAGAGAAAGGTTGGAGACGATGAAATGAGGGAGAAGAGAAGCAAGGGAAGTTATTACTGAGCGTATTGAGCGGGTGTAATAGCATTTATGAAGGGACGAAATGGTATAAATGCTGTATGTAAAGAGAGAGTGTCTGTGTGTTAGAGAGAGAGGGTGTGTTTGTGTATTCTTCTGTTTTAAATTGTGTGGGAAAGTGATTCTTGGCTTCATAACTCATCTCTCTCACCTAAACCCTTCAACACCACCATGTATTTCCACTGCCGATTGGGATTTGCTGTGCATTTACTGATGTATTTAAGTTAACTTAATGTAGCATTAAAGTGTGTTTAAGTTATTATATATATTAAATAATTTAAATAAAAAAGTGGTCAGGAATACTTTTTAATAAATATTTTTAATACATTTTTAAGTTATTTATTAAATAAAAATATCAACAACACACTTTTTAATATATTTTTTATTATTAATTAAAATTTATTAAAATTTATATAAGCTTTATTTTTTTACACTTAAATTAATATTTTTAAAATATTTTAAAATTTTTAAAAAAATTAATTAATAATAAAGAGTGTTACTAGTATTACTCTATTAAAAATTATAAAAATGTGTATATATATATATATAAAAGATAAAGAATTATTAAATTAAAAATGAAAGTTCCATAAATTTTATAATTTTTAAAAAATTTAACTAATAATTAAAACTGTAAAAAAATATATTAAAAATATATTGTTAATAATTTTTTTATAAATTACTAGAAAATATGCCTGTGCGTTGCACGATTTATTTTTTTATTACATTAATTTATTTTAAAATATAAAATATATAATTTAAATATAATAAAAAAATTTGTCAAAATAAATTATTATTTAAAATTATTTAAAATATATATAATTTAGTATTTCTTAATATAAAATAAAATAACATACTTATTTTTAATTTTAAAATATAAAAATAAATTTTATATTATTTCATGATATCATAAATTATTTATTATTATAAAATTTAAATAAATAATTATAAAAATTATTAAATATGATATAAAATTATGATATAAAATTTATTATTATAACATTATATTTTCTTTACTTATTTATTTATTATGATGTAAAATTATTAAATATAAAAATAGAACAGTTAAATCATATTCATTTTTATTGTTATGATATTTAGTAATTTTTAATTTATTTTAATTATTATAATTAATTAGTTTTAATTGAAGAGTTTTAAATTTATCATCATTATTATAGCATTTTATAAAAAATATTGCAACAAAATCATTAAGTATGAATATTGTCAATTTTTTAATTTAAAAAAATTAAATTTGTCATCATAATTATTATAATATAAAATATAAATAAAATATTGTCTATGTTAATAGGTTATACATAATTTTGATATATTAATTTCTATTACATTATTTTCTAAAAAAATTAAAATAATAGAAGAGAAAGAAAGAGTAGTTAAAAAATTTTAATTAAGATTTAGGTAGAAAATAAAAGAGAAGATTTGTTGTATTACAAAAATTAGTCTTTATATCAATTAAATTTATAGATGTTGATATAATATAAAATTTATGAATCACATATAAGATTTGTCTAAGAACAAAATTAATACATAATATATATAATAATAAAATAAGAGAGATATATATAATAAAATAACAAAATTATTTTATAAAAGACTTAAATGTTTGGTGACATTTTACTTTTCAGATTTTACACAATATTAAAAATATTTATATAATACTGCAATAAAAATTATTTAATTTTTTAAATCCTTCATTATTGTCTTTTGTTCATAATTTTTTACTTTGTCATCCTTAAGTTATAACCTAAAAGAAAATATCAAATATAAATTACTAATCTAAAAAATTTGAACAATACATTATAAATTTATAATTTATACAATAATTTTCTCTTTTTTTTTTTGTAAATTTGGTGTTTCTATGGTTAGAGATATAGATGAATAACTTATTGCCAAATTGTTTTCTTTTGTTCTTGCATTTGTATTGTTTACACCTTCTTCCTTCTCAACCTGTAAATATAAACAATGAAAATAAAGTTATTCATCATTATATTATAAACATTATAAATGAAAATAATGAAACTTCAATTTAATTTTCTATATTACCTTCATTATCGGCTTTACAATTTATTTGCAATGAAACTTTATTTTTCACGATTTTTAAAGTAGGTACTCATTTTTATTTGAACAATATGTGAAGTGTCAATAATCTTTAAAAGTTGTGAAAACAACTTTAACACTTCACCATTACCTTTTAAAAAATTATCACATAAAAATAGTTATATGTTTTAATATATTTTATTTATAAGAAATTAGAAATTAACACATTTGCTTACAATTTCAGATGTTGCAATAAGATCTATTAACTTTCATTGTGCTAATTATTCAACAACTTCATCAAATAAGACAAATATATTTGAATCTGTAAAATCTTTAACATCAAGCTCAAGACAAAACTTGTAATGTATATAAATTAAGGTAATAATATATACTTTAATTTATTTTAATATGAAAATTTAAAAATTAGAATACATAGTGATAAATTAATTACCTTGTCATTAGATACTCTGCGTCTTTATAACATGATTTACTTTTAAAATTTATAATTGTGAAAGAAACTTTCTTCTTACAATAAGAGCAAGAAATATAATACCAACCATTTTTAAGCATTACATCGTTCATAGTTATAATACAACCAATTATGATATTTTAAAAATTAATTAAAAAATTAGTTTAAAACTTAAATAAGAAGAACAAAGTATAAGAGACATTAAATTTACTATATCACTCTTTGATTTTGTCATTGTCAAGATTTCAGATATGTTTTTGAAATTTTCTAACTTAGAAAAAATAGTAAATCTTGTATTATCAACATTGTGAGCAATATGCATATCATTAAAATCCCTTCAACAAAGTAATAATGAATAATTGAAAATGTAGTTAAAATAAAAAGTAAACAATTAGTAATAATTAATGTAACAGAGAGATTTTAAACAATTTCAATATTTGAATGAATCTATAAAATGAGTAACTTCTGGTATATCAATATTGACATAATTCTTTGTTGATATTGATGTGGAAATATAAATATTACTTATAATACATACATTCACATTTTTTATAATTAAATATCACAGTCGTGATATTTACACTTTTATTTTTCATTCATCTATTATTGAATTCAGATCGTTATGAAAAATCTATTTATCTTCATTAGAACTTGTCGTTTTCCTACAATTCATCAAATCTAATAAAGATTCTTTAAATACAATTCAAAGATAATAAGTATGAATAAAATATAATTTCAATCAGTAAGTTTTACGTTTCAAATTTTAATGTAGAAAGTAATAATTAGATGAAGTTAATATGAGTGACTTTATAGGTTTTGAATTAATTCTTTAAATACAATTCATCAATTCTAATAAAAATTCTTTAAATACAATTCAAAGATAAATAAGTATGAATAAATATAATTTCAATTCATAAGTTATACGTTTTGAATTTTAATGCATAGAGTAATAAGTGAGTGCACATAAGAGTGACTTTATAAATTTTGAATTTTAATGCATAGAATAATAAATAAATAAAGTCACATATATAAAGATGACTTTATACATTTTAAAATTTAATGCATAGGGTAATAAGTTGGAGTAATCAATTTTACATATAAATATAGAATATAGATAGATAGATATAGATTTTTTAACTAACGTTATTTAGTATTAAAAATATTTTAAGTATTACTATTTTATTAAATTTAATAATAAAAATATAAATAATTTAATATAAATTTTTCTCTTTTTATTATCATTTAATATTAAATTTGTCCTTTAGTATACTAAAATTTATTGTGTGTATATTCATATTTATAACTTTCTTTATTGCATATATTAAGAAGTTGATATATAATATATTTTATTAAAAGTCAGTAATATTCAATGATATTAATAAATTAAATTGTATTAAATTTATATTTTTAATAAAAAATATTTTATATATATATATATATATATATATATATATATATCTTATAATATATTTATACGTGGGCATATCCCTCTCATAAGTAAATAAAGATAAATAAAGCAAGAAAAATATGTGTATAGTTAAAAAAAAAAAAACATTAACAACGTATTCTTTTTAATGTACTTAGTTATTATTTAAAAATATGTAAATTTTATACTTTCTTCTTAATGTAATATTTTTTATATTTTTATAATTTATAATAAATTTTAATTTAGTAATTAAAAATATTTTTAGAAGTATGTCATAAAAATTATTATTAAAATGTTATAAAAATAATAATAATTATATTCAACAGCATGAGAAGTGAAAATATTATTCAAATATATTTTTCAGTATTGTATCTCCTTCACAAAGCACAATCAAACAAGAAAAATATATGTACAGTAAAAGATTTGTTAATAATGTATATTTTTAACATTTTTAGTTAT